GGGGGTAAAGTCAAAGATTAGAGGTGTTACTAATACAACAAAGAGTAATATACACAAAGAAAAGGAGGAGAGATAAAGACAATAGATGTCTGGTAAGAAAGGAGGAGCAAATCAGTGAAATCACTGTAAGAGCATCCGCCAACTATGCACCAACTCTCCTTTGACAGTTTGATACGCATTACAAGAGGTAAAATTCTATTTGCAGCAGAAACGGACGTAAAGTCTATTCTTTAGAAAATCTAATCAGTCTATGAAAACATTATCTTTTCAGTTCAAAGCCAAACAACAAGTGATAAAACTCAGCTGTCAGGAAAAAATATACTAAATTTTGCTCCTCACCCGATTTCCTTACGACACTGCTAAATTCATCAGTGCAGGAAATGATTTTAGTTTTGGTATAATAACAAAATGGATGCAGGAAGAACTGAGAGACAATCACACAAAGAAAGACAATTAAAAAACAGGGGTATAAAGAATGGGTGTGAAGCAGCAGAGTAAAGAAAATATTACAACTTAAAAAGATTAACAATAAACGATATACACACTTTCAACTGAATTCATAGACCTGGTGAAATTAATATACACAAATCAATTGTTTTGTTTTAGTAAGAGTTTTAAGGAATTGCAACATAAAAAGGTTAAATAAATGCCAAGGATTAGAGGATTTACAGAAAAATATAAAAAAGGAGAGATAAGGACGATTGATGCCAAATCTCTAGTTTAGCATTTTGCTCAAAGAAGCAGATGCAGAAGATGAGGCGGGGGGGAATGTCTTTCAGAACCCTAGGGCCTATTTGTTAATTTGGTAATTCTTCAGTTTTTGTGAAGGTCAAGTCAGATTTTTTCCAGCAACTATTGAACTGTCGGATAGACATACAACTATGTTAAAGAGGTGCACCCTCTGTAACCAAACATTGCAAAGCAATAAACCCTACACTGCCACACAAACTAACAAACAGCATAATATTCTATTCTATGCAAGAGACATTTATTTGAGCGAATAGTTCTATAGAAGGCTTTTTTACACAGCATGAACTACAGCAGAGTCCAATGTTTTTTTCAGCAATCCTATATTTTCAATGTTAAGCCATACTCGGGTGCACATTAGATAGCATCAAAGAAAAGAAAATATGCTTCCTTGTTTGAAACCAAACTACTTCTACAATGTAGTACAATAGCAGTTAAGTTTCTCACGTTGGTCTAGTGATGGTACAGCAGCAATGTGAAGAAAATGACTCTTTGTTAAGAAAAAAAATTGCTCTGAAATTATGAAGTCAAAAAAGAGGGTGAAAAGAGCAGATTTTGCAGTAAATACAGCAATGCATTACACTCTCTGATTACTTAGTTTTAGTAAGTGTTGTGTGGCACTTACAACCCAATACGGTCATATAAGTGCCGAAGATTAGAGGTGTTACTCTGTTACAAGAGAGTAACAAACATAAAAAAGGAGGAAAGATAAGGACGATAGATGTCTGATAGGAAAGATGAAGCAAACCACACCAGAAAACCCACCAACCAACCCCAACCACTCAGAATATTTTGTTGACAGACAAGTATAAAGGCGTCCAAAAGAAATTGAAAATGTAATCACCCAGTCATCGTGTATAACCTTGCACTGTCTGCTCATGCAGCATACCAATTTAAAGCTAAATTCTGCATCATATGGCACATTAAAATTTTATGCATAAAAAGACGCCAGAGATATGGTCACTCAAAATTGACCTTAAAAAATAAGGCTTGGCAAAATTATGCGAAATCAAAGAAGCGTCAAAGCGTTTACGAGCGTAGGTTGATGTGCATCAACATTGGTGGAATGGACATGTACTGAATATATATCAAATTCAAATGAAAAGATAATACATTTGTCTCTGCAATGAACAGCATCTTCTGATGAAATTTTCAAACGGTTAAAATACCTCGAAAACCTGGACTTAACATCACATGTGCTCATTAAGTCTTGTTGATTTTGTTTAAGAGCTATTGGTTTCATGTAGAGCACAAAACCTTTTTTGCACATGGACAATGTTGATTAGATTTTGGACATAAAAATCATTTGTCAGAGAGGAACAGAAACCAAAAAATTGCCATGTTTTTGGTGGCCTGGGGTGGAATTAACAAAAACGGCCTCATGTGAATCATCAGATGGCTTGGTTTAGTGGGCTACATCGCGCAAGTGCTGGAACATCATGCCTTACCCTTATTTTTGTCATGGTGCCAATCAAGTAGACATATCATCATAGCAAAGCACTTTCTCACAGGGCTAATGTGACTAGACAATTCTTGGAAAACCAAATCAAATCAATGTTGAAGTGGTTGCCAGCAAATAGCCCCAATATGAATCCTACAGGTATATGAATCATATGAAACAGCAGCTGAAGAAAAGCAACTTTGCTCCCAATCCAGACCCTTTGTTTACTCTCTATGACATTTGGGTCCAAAATTGTATAGAGTCGATGCCCAAAAAGTTTGTGCATTAAACAAAACCAATGGTTCCTAAGCAAAATAACAATGAGCACACTTAATGCGAAATTCAACTTTAGCGTGGTGTTTGGGATTTGTCTGAAAAAAATGGTGAAATGGTATGGGTTTAACGCCCCTATCAACACTATTAGGTTATTTAAGGGGCGGGACCTCCTAGCTTAACATCCGTCTCCGATAGGACCGAGCCAAGTGGAAAGATCGTGTAAAGTGCCTTTCCCAAGGACACAACGTCGGACCGAGCTGAGGCTTGAACCCCCGAACCCGCAATCTCACGATTACGAGTCCGGTAGCCTAACCACTAGGCTACAGACGCCACTGTGATTGGTCTGTTTTCCGTTTTGTTTAAAACTATCGAGATAAAATATCGTAATAAAATGTTTATTGCAGAGACAAAATTCTCCATTCATTGGATATGCAACGTATCCTTTCTATCAAAATTTATGCTCCTCAATACACGTGCGAAGACAATTTTACTTTGTTTTTATTTCGCACAATTTTACCAAGCCTGACTTTTTAAGGTCAACTTTGAGTGACCATATGAATTATTAATGTGTCAAACGATGCAGAATTTATTTAGCTTTAAATTGGTACGTTGCATACGTGGGTAACACAAAGCTTTAACACGATGATTGGGTGATAACATTTTCAAGTTTCCTTTGGACGCCACTGTAGGCCTAATATATGAAGAAAATAGAAAGCCATGGACCAAGGAATGTGTATATAAACAACAAACACATCGGTAATTTGAAGACGCTGATAAAGCAATAATAATAATAATAATATATATATATATGAGCAATTGCCAAAACATGAGACTCAATGGTGCAAAATTATTTTTTTTTACCAATTTGACTCCCTTTTCTGTCAGTCTCAGATTGACATTTAGAGCTCATATTCCTAGAGTATCAGAGCAAGGAGATGTAGGGTTTTGGAGATATGGGTCTATTGGTTTGGCAACCACTGTATTTCTTGTATGTAACAGTGATGACAAAAACAGATAAGCAGCAAGGCAAATTATGGACTTTAAATTCCATTTGTTTAGTAAACAAAGACTTTGTACACTATGAACTCCATTCATAATGGTAATATACTGAGTTGCAAAAGTTCTGTCACACCCATTATATTACGATAATTTTCAGTACAGTGTAAGAATTGCAGTAAAAATTAAAAGTACGATTTGTGTGACTTATGGGACTCTTTGTGCAAGAGCAGACGAAAGAAATCATAAACCGGGAGTAGTGCATGGACAAAGTGTTGGTATTGATTTTTCTAGGTCTACATTGAAATCAACGCTTCCTACACGCAACATTTGCTTTGGCTCATAAGTAACACTGAAATTTTCCATCAGCGTCTGTGCCCTTTACATAGGGCCTGCCCACTTCCCGGTCGAAGTAGGTCAGCCCTATATATATATAGAGCCTGCACGCCTTCTGGGTAGCCCGGCTCAAGCCCTTTATATATAGGGCCTGCGCGCTTCCATGGTTAATTTTCTTTTTTTTAATCTTTGGATGAAAGTGAACTGACTTGGGCAATCTTCCAGTCACAGTTTGTAATGTTTTTTTCAGACTTGGTGGGTTCGGGTAAAATAATATAAGGTTGAACCTTCAGAAATCCTAGAAGCCTAAAAGGCCTTGCTTTTTTTTTTGTACTTCAATTCTCAGTCAATTTTTGTCACAAAAATATTGATGAACATCCTCAGAAGACTCAGCAGAGATGCTTAAATTCTCAGACTAAAATTTGCTACTTTGTGACTGGATCCATTGTCAAGGTGACAGCAGTACTTCCAAAAGAGGTGCTTCAGAGCAAAACAAACATGGTGTGGCACAATGAGATTGAGTGTCTGATAAGATATAGAGGTGTTGTGGCTTAAATGAACTTTCGTTTATCCCCTAGGACATCTCTGATTATTTTACAGTTCCAGTAACTTAGAAGAACAATGCATATTTAAATGTTATTTCCCCTTGACACAGCCCCTAAAAGAGTTAGGTTTGTTTGAGATTCTCCCTTTTTTTTGTGTGTGAACATCAGAACTTTATATATATAAATGTTATTATTATATGAGCCATTGCCAAAAGGTGGGGAAAAACTCATACATCTCACATTAGTGTGCATAAAATGTGATGCATTAGTATTTATTCCTCCAAAACTTATACACATGTCAAATATAGGATGTAGAACCTGCATTAGCAGGTTCAGACCCCATGTCAGCTTTACAATCTTGAGTTTGTAAATTTTTTGTCAAAAATTTTCGTTTTTTAGTGATTCCTGGACTGTCATTTTGAGCACACCAATGCAAACTTCCAAGAATGTCCAAAATTTAGTATTTTTGGGTGTTTTTTTCTTTACGTATGCTTTGATCCTATGCTTATTTGTCACCGAGAAAGGTTAACTTGCTCAAGAAATCGGTTTATTTGTTTGTAAATAAACGAACAATTCGGATCACTTGTGCGTCAGTCGTGTCGTCACGGACTAGGTGTTTCAGAAAACACTTTTAATTTTCATTAGAATCACCGTAACTGGTTAAATGTTTTTGCTTTTCTTCGTTTATTCAACACTTCAAAAGCCGCGATGTGCGAAAGGAACATCGGGTTCCTAGATCTACGATTTCGGTCAGCTGTTTAACATTCGCCGTGATTGGCGTTACTTTGCGACGTACCAGAAGTCCGAATTTTAGCCTACTTTTGTTTTGAACGGATTATCAACAGTGCCCGGATATAATTATTTTCTTGAGTGACTTCTCCTTACCCACTTCCCCAGAACAGCGGAGGCAATGGGGGAAAGAGAAAAACGAAAGTAGTCATTGCCGTCAGCGTCCGGTGACGCACAAGAATCTTACGTTGCATGTGACGTACTGGACTGTTTTTAGGCTACCCTATTGAATATCTTAGTGAAATTGCGGTGTTTACATTGGATTCCTGGAACAAGAGTGTGATGTGTGAACAAACTTCGAGAGATGGATCATTTCTGTGGTTATAGATTTAGCTTTTGTGCTTAGTGATGACGTTTGGGGTGTCGTCATGCAGCTGTACAAGACTGACTGACGTACTAGAAATTACATTGTCCTAAGAGCAAACATTTGTTATGTCATGTGTGCTCTTTTTACTCAAACAAATAGACAAATATGTCCTTGTTTATCTGTCTGACTCAAAAGTACACATTTGTTCTTTGTTGGCATGATATGCCTTTTTCCAATACATTGTGTCATTGTGTCATCATTGTTATATATGTACAAGTAATATTTTTTATATAATTGTTAATATCAATAAGTTTTCAACATATATATTCCATACATGCAAGATTCATTTAGAAACAAAATACGCCTTTATTGATCTGTGTATCTCATAGTGCAAATTTGTTCTTTGTAGGCATGATTTTACCTTTTCCCAGTCAGTATGTTTTGTCATCACTGTTATGTACGAGTACTGTTTGTCATAATTAGCAACGTAATTGTGATTGTCTACTGTACTGTCTTTGATATGACCTGATATCTGTTTCAAAGCAAAAAAAAATTCTCCTGGTTTGTTTTTTTAATCCTTAAAGTGTGCATTTCTCTCTGGAGGCATGACTTTGTCTTTTCCTGTACATTGTGTCATCATTGTTATGTACAAGTCATGTTTGTCATCACTGTTATGCACAAGTCAGCCCCATTGATTTTGTGCTTTTGCCTCATATTAGTTAAAAAATTGTTTTACAAATGTGTTTTTCTGGTGCTGAGGCTTTGATAACTGTATTTGTACAGCTTTTCACTATTGTGATGTGTTGTCAATGATAATGTCCAATGTGTATCCTTTCTTGTACATTTTATAACAATGATGACATGTTCTGTGCACTGCGTCATTGTTACAATGCTTGTCATTCATATTGCCATTATGAATGGAGTTCATAGTGTACAAAGTCTTTGTTTATTAAACAAATGGAATTCAAAGTCCATAATTTGCCTTGCTGCTTATCTGTTTTTGTCACCATTGTTACATACAAGAAATACAGTGGTTGCCAAACCAATAGACCCATATCTCCAAAACCCTACATCTCATTGCTCTGATACTCTAGGAATATGAGCTCTAAATGTCAATCTGAGACTGACAGAAAAGGGAGTCAAATTGGTAAGAAAAAAATTTTGGAACCACTGAGTCTCAAGAGAGTTTCACGTTTTGGCAATTGCTCTTATATGGAAAATGATGATGTAAATTACAGGTCAAAGTCATAAATAGTGACCAATGACTTTGTAGGTTATCTTGACCTCGTAGAGTGTCTCTTCGCCAAGATATTGATCGATAAAGTGACGCGGTCCAGCTGAGCGACTACATAGCTATGTATTATCACTTGTTTCACCATGTCATGTACTAATTGTTGAGTTCATCGTGTTTTGTGCTTTGTTTGTATATTTATTTGATCGCTTATCATTTTTGAATGGCTCATTCTACTAGCTTTAAGAAAAGATATGATTTTATATGCCCTTTTATCATCACATGAAGCTGCAGCGAGCACCTAGCACACCTCTGTGATTGGCCAAATATAGATGACATATTTCCGTCATCTATTTTTGTTGTCTTCCCTCGTGAGTTGACTAGATCTCACCGCCGGGGCGGGCCCATTTTGCTACAAAGCGTGCGATGGGCTTTATTTCTAGATCTACGTTTTATCGCCGACTGCTTGGGCTGTGAGTGCGCACGGCTGTGTGTGTTTCATGAGCGTGCGTGTGCGTGTGTGTGCGCATGTGTGTAGAACTTTGAGAAGAAGGTAAATTTATGGTATATGAGAATTGCTGAGATTGTTTATAAAGATAACACAAATTAATACCAAAAAAACAACTGACACGGCCAGATTTTTGGTCAATAGTAGTTACTGGCGAGGGAAACCCAAGAATCTTGTGGAAACCCCAGAAGACGACAAAAATAGATTGCGGAAATACGTCATCTATATTTGGGCCAATCACAGAGGTGTGCTAGGTGCTCAAGCTTCGTGTTTTATCATCTGTTAAGCCGTAAATGGTCATTTTTCAGTAGCAGGTATACATCTTTGGTATCTCTAAGCTGATATCCCAACGCCAAACCCCCATGTCTACAAACCGATCAGTCATGGCAGCGGGCCATTTTTGGCGGGTTACTTCCGGTGAAACACTGAGCGCTTCTTGGTTTTAAGTAGATCTAGATCTAGAATGTGGATCTAAAATCTAGGCCTACTCTTGACAATAAGACCAGCCAACACGGTATTCATTCTCATGATAAATTGATGTAAACACAATGACAGTGCTACCCATGCACAACATAATAATGGAAATGTAAGTTCACACCAGTAACTAATAAATTAACACCATCATCCATGCAAAAAATTCGAAGAAAAGTAAAGTGGAAAGAATACATGCTAACCTAACCGCTTACCCTAATTGACAGGTGGCCTACTACTAAAACAGCGCAACCCCATCCACCATGTGAATTTAGCAGATTCAATCCCCAAGAAATGTGCAGGCATAATATTAGTCTTATCACTTAATATAATCTAGAATCTACTAAGAGTAATCAGTAATCATTGGCCTACACACACATTATATAGCCTACAATCCCTACTTCATTTTCACCTAGCCAGGGTATCTCAACAAGACTAAATCTCTCTATCTTCTTATCTGCCTGAAAGTGAACACTGAACTGAATGATTGGAACTGAGAGTTGCGCTTGCTGCTAGCAGCACTCATACGATACTTAAATTACGTGTGCTCCATAGCCACCTAAGACAGCGCAAATCAAAGTCATCGAGGAACGATAAAAACGAAGTAAATTCGATGATACATGTTAGCATTTTGGCACTCAAAGACAGACCCGTTAGGGGATGAATCATCCCATTCTGACTCCCTTTTAGTGACACTTCTGTCTACTGCTAGCATGCATCTTATAGGAAACTGGTCACTTCCTTTTCATGAAAAAAGTATTCTACTAACAACAACTAACCTCTGAGAGGACCAATGTCCAACTAATTCGACAGCCAATGATTTTCTTGTTAAAATGAAGTCATGAAGAGCTCGCAGAACCTACAAGACCTTTCGCAGATCCATTTTGAGTGCTGGTCTATATGACTTTCCTGATTCCATAAATGCCATAGGCCACAAACATGGCGTCGTGTTTAACAGACGTTGGAATTGTGGGAACGTCGGGGTGTGTTCATTATAATGGTTCCGAAAACTTCCGCTAAAAAAGGAAAACTTGTTCAGCAATCTCGGCTATTGATGGCCTCAGATAAAGGATAAGAGTTTGTTATTTCATTCTTCCCCATCTAGTTCTACTCCAATATGTTAATTGAAAAACTATGTTTACAGACGTATTATTTTATAGATAGGCTAGTTTAAAAGCGTTGGTAGCTCCTCGATGGAACTTTCCTCACAATACCCTTATGCGCAAAAACATTATAATTGCGCATTCTGGATCCTCCTATATTTTTGCTCTATGAACACGCTCACTAGATCGTAGTGACGTCATTTCATGTATGTGTGTATGTGTGTGTGTGTATGTGTGTTGGTTTTCTCAATCAAAACAATAAATATGCAAGGGGGAACACAGGGGTTGGAGTTTGTTGATGGGGGGGGGGGGTCAATTCGTATAAGTAGAGATTCCTACTCATTTTTCTTTACTTCATTGTACTGCAAGTGTAATTCTGCATTCCGGTGTCGTTTTGGTTATGATGTTAGATTTTCACGTCCGAAGATAGAGATATAATTTATATAGGCCTAAATATTGAGACTACAATAACAGTCTTGTTGTGCCGCTACTCAAAGCCTTTTTTCAACACCAATAAACTGTAGCCTACACGTGCAAGATTTTCATTTGTTGTTTTTTTTTCTTCCTAAATCGACGTATCATTGTTTCCTTTGGCGGACATTCTACTGCCACTGCTACCCGAAGGCCGGATATTATTCGAGTCCTCTCGTTTCCATACGCGCTCTATACATTCAGTTGTAAGGGACGCTGAAGTTACCCTTTCTTCTTCTTTACTTTTAAGTCTTTTTTCCTTGTAGTAGATACCAAGTACGCGTATTTACACTATTTTTTTATTTCTTTTAGTTTCTGTGCAGAAGCTATGCGTTTTTGTATGTATGCGCTATTAATTCAAAAATATGTGTTGGGAGTGAGTATGTGCGTTTATGTGGGAAAGTGAGGCATTAACACAGAGAAAAAAGCGAGGTGAAGGTTGAGTGTGAGAGAGAGGGGGTGGGGGAGGGGTGGAGATAAAGAGACAGAGAAAGATCGACAGACAGACAGAGAAACAGCTAGACAGACAGAGATCATGGCGGTTCGCCTTAATTAATTTCTGTATAGAGAAAATATAATGGGGGTAGAGACGTCGTGGCATTCAGGATATACTTTAACAGGAAGCGGGTTGCACTACATGTCACCGTCGTAGCGGCCTACGACTGTCTTGTGAAGACACTTTCTGGAAACACGTCGCCATGTGTGGCAACTAGAGTATCTCTCGGCGTTTTCTCAGCGAAACGGGGGGGGGGGGGGGGGGGAGAATGTAACTTATTATACCGGTAGTGCCTGGAGCATTGTAAAAGTAATTATGGGGATTTCAGCTGTGGTCATAGAGTACAATATCTCATTTTTAAACTAATAGTGTAAATATATGGTTGTGTTTGGAAGCACGCGTTCAGTCTATAACGTTTTACTCAGATTTGGTGTTCCCCAGGGGTCTGTATTCTTGGACCTGTCTTGTTTACAGTGTAGGATAGACACATGCTGTCTGGGAATAACCTACTGATTATTTTAAGACGGTAACGTATGGCATGAATTCCCTTCTTTTTTTATGCTGATGACACTCAGATACATAAGTCTGTTGATTTCGATCAAATATCACTTTTAGTCGACTCTACTGAGCAATGTTTTCGGGAATTAAAAATATGGGTGACCGGTAATAAATTGAAACTGAAAGATGAAAAAAAAACGGAAATAATGTTGAGTGGAAATACAAAAGCCATTACAAATCTTCCAGAACTACAAATTGACATCAATAATCAGTGGGTGGTTGGCGGGTGCTCTGGTGTGGTTTGCTTAAATTCTTCTTTCCTATCAAACATCTATATCGTCCTTATATCTCCCCTTCTTATGTTTGTTACTCTCTTGTAACACCTCTAATCTCCTGACGCTCATATGACATTATGCAGTTGCGAGCGCTGTAAAACCTCTACTATAACTAAAAATCAATAATCATACCATTGTTTAAAAAAGAAGTCTTAAAAATTTAGGGGTTCAGTTGGATTATGATGGCACTTATGTCTGGCCTCTTCAATTAGCCAGATCAGCAAAATTATATATTTTCAGCTAAACAAAATCGGCAGTGTACGGAATTATTTTACTAAAGCAGCATCCAAGACATTAGTACTGATTTTTATCAAAATTAGATTACTGCAATGCTATTTTATCTGGTTTAACGTGGGAAAAGCTATTTTTAAAAGTTGCAAGTACATGTACTCCAAAGTCAATTAAGCAGCATGATAATGAAAAAAAAAATCAGCGCATTTAACACCAATTCTGAAAGAAATACACCGGCAGCCAGTAAAAAAAAGGGATCAAATGCAAAACTGCCGTTTTCTGTTTTAAATGTATTAGTCATATTTATCTAAAATAATTCCTGGAATTATATTATCACCCACCCAGTGCCCTAAGATCAGTCACTGGCAATCTAATTCTTAGAATCCAAAACAAAATCACAAATCATATGGCGAGCGTTCCTTTTTAATTATTCTTTGGTCCCTGCTCCCTATGTACGAAACGAACTCCCAAATAAAATAAGGAGTGCCCTAACTATTCGCATTTTCCCAAAACATCTCCAGCGCATTTCTTTCACAAATGCATACCTGTCAAAACGATGAACTGTATAATTATACACGTGTATGGACAATCTTGAGACTGAAAAAAAAATAGCGCACGTGCGTGTGTGTGTGTGTGTGTGTGTGTGTGTGTGTGTGTGTGTGTGTGTGTGTGTATGTGTGTGTGTGTGTGTGATTGTGTGTGTATGTGTGTGTGTGTGTGTGTGTGAGAGAGAGAGAGAGAGAGAGAGAGAGAGAGAGAGAGAGAGAGAGAGAGAGAGAGAGAGAGCGGAAATGTTTTTTAATTATAGAGAGCGAATGTTTTTCGTTATTCTAGTTTCAATTTTATTGTGACCGTTCGTGAGTTGTCGTTTTTTTTAATCAATCTATTGCATTCTATATTTTTAGCTCACTGCTTGACTATTTTTCTAATATAAATTTTTATACATAGTATAATGTATATATGCATAATACTATGTTTTACGTACACCCATGTCCATTATTTTTTTAGGTGTGATATTTTTAGTAATGTAATGCGCATTGAGTATTTTTGGTAGAAAATTGAAATTAGCAGCATATTTATTATTATTATTACCCGTGTTGTGTGGACAATCCGGAGGGCTCGAAAATTATACCTTCAAATAAACCAAAGTAGAAGGCTATCAATCTGTTCCACTGAAAAGCCAACACTCCTCTAAGACGCAATATGAAACTGCAACTGAATGTCAATATGGTCATATCAAACACCATGATTCACACGAGAAACAAATTTTTGAACGCTGTAAAAGGAAAGAGGGGATCGAATGGGAAGACCTTACAGGAAATGGGAACAAAACAGAGAAACCTGGCTTGGAACCAAAAAGAAATCAGGCAGGTAGGCAGAATGGCAATTTAAGAGACAGAGCTTTGTTGCACAAAAGTGCCATGAGGCAATTGTCCAACTATTGAAAAAGCGGCGGTGAAGAAGAAAAATGTAGCAAATACCATGGGGTTTTTTTTTTCGGTACTTTACTATTCCTGCTCAATGCGTGTTGATTAAAGATGATGCCATTTTGTTTAGCCATCAGATACACATGTACCAGGAGCGAAAGTGAGTCTGATGTTTGCGCTGCTCTTTCTCACTGAGGGGGTGGGGGGTGGGGGTGGGGGTGGGGGGAGGATAGAAGTTGAACCTGCTGCTAGCGCCCTTCAAGACATTTCTCAAAAGGGCAAATGGCAAGAGTCTGTTTTCAAAGCTCAAAAGGATTCCGTTTCACTGGCCTGGCCTTGTCGAAAGAATGTCTGATGTCAGAATTCCAAAGGATGTTCCTCAAGGAAGCGTAAGATATGACGCATCAAAAAAAGCGCTCTACAATGACACCCTGAAAATGTACCTGAAGGACTTCAATATAAACTTCAACATCTGAGAACTTAGCTCCTGACTCCTAGCTGGAGAGCAGCAGTCACAGTGGGCAGCAAATCATATAAAATGAGGCTTCACGGATAAGAAATGCTGAAACCAAAATAGAAACCTAAAAGCTGCGCACGCATCGCATGTGAAAGTGGGGCTTTTATATATTATGTTCTAAATGTAGCAAATGTTTCTTTGCCAGAAATGGTCTCTTCGGCCACAGCAGAAAGCACAAGTCACCTTGAACTTTAATTCTTCAAAATTTTCTATTTCGTTGGAGAACTATTATTCTCCTCTGCGGTTGTATTGGGCATCCTGCTCAGGCACGTATTTACGGACGGGCTGTTATAATTAAAGATGATGCACATAGGTTTCGTCCCTGCTTTCGAGACAGCACCACCGATCAACGATGAAGAAGGCTTAGCAACGAAAGCTGTCAAATATTTTGGAAAATGATGTGCTGAATCCAAATTTGTTGTTAGTTTTCATCTATCAGGTCAGGTTATTGCAGAATTCATATATTTAAATAATTTCAGGTATTCCTTATTGTGTAAGAGGGGGTAAAAATAACAGGCTCTATTATACAAGGAGGGTAACCTTTATTCTTTCCCTTAAGGCCATTAATTGACTATGTTATATTTGCATAATGTCCTATGTCACATTTTAAAATGACATATTGTCTTAAAATATAGACTCTTTTCATTCATACAGTTCATTGTTTACACAAATAGCGACAGAAATGTTGCAATCTAAAATTCGAAAGACAATGCAAGAAAGCTATATGTCAGTGCTTATAAATCCCGTAAGTCACTAAGAAACTTCAAAGGGAGATAATTATATACTAATTAAAACCCGTAAGTAGTTTTCATTGTTTAATAGTGTCTGACCTGTAGCTGGCCTGGCGCACGCCGTGTGCGTGTCAGCACAGCCGCACTGTGGGTTGGTGCCTGTGTCTCAGCGAGCGCGAGGCACACTCGCTGAGTCTCAGCACAGCTGCACTGTGTGTTGACGTGTGTAGGTGTGCAACTGACGGGTCTGCCTTGCTATATTTAGGTACTGTGTAATCCAAGACCAATTATACTAAGACGGGACAACTCTTTTTTATGTCATGTACCAAATGCAGCCCCCCCCCCCCCCCCTCCACACACACAGACACACTTGCAGCTGCGCGCGGCGATAGCCTAGTTTACATTGGTTACAATGAGAGAGTCTAGAGAAGCACACCTAGATCTAGGCCTACGACAACAGTCGAAACTAAGTCAACCTCTCGATTCGAAGTTTCAAAGTATGATAAAGTGCATTTCTGAATGATTTTGTGGCCAAGTGTTGATGCTAGCATCAATATTTAATAGTAAAGCACCTAATAATACTTACTTCTTGTTGATTCTGATGATCTGTGAAGAGTTTCAGTCGAAAATAAACTCGAAGCGGGGCGACACATGTCTGCCATTTTTACAACACTGTTGAATAGCACGTCTGACCAATCGCGCAGCTCAGCTGACAAAAAACAGACGACACAGCGACGCTGCTTTAGCACATGATAATGTATACATTCATTTGCACGGTGCGAGCCAGGCGAGCTACAGGTCAGACCTACAGAGCCACCCTGGGACCGGCCTTAGGCTTTGGCGATGGATTGGACACACTTGCAGGAAGTCAAGCAGCTGCATAACGAGGAAAGATCTACAGAGCCACTCTGGGAACGGCCTTAGATTGGAACCAACAGGGTAAAAGATCAAGGGGAAGACCACGTGGAACCTGTAGAAGAGTCACGGAAATGGATGTACAGAAAAGTGGGAAGACATGGAGTGACATCAAGCGACTATATGGCCCGGGATAGGGAAAGGTGAAAAGTGTAAATGTTCGTGGCCCTTATCCTGATCCCTGGTGAGAAAGGCAATGCTGATGACCCGGCATAATGATATAGCCTATGTATGTATTTCATGCTGTTTTAAAGGTAATAGTCATAATGTTATTCCCGCACGATTGACAATGACTGAATAGCTTTTATAGATGATGGTATCAATGAATGTATATTCATTATTCATGCTTGTTTGTTCTTGCTTTTCATAAAATTAGAACGATTACTTCTAACAGATCTCTGGTAGGGGGCTTTCGTGGTTTAATCAAGGTTATACAGTGTCCGTATCTCATTCAATAGGTCCCGAGTTCGAAACCTGACAGCGACAGAAAAATGTTCTTGTCAAGAATGTTCTTCTTTTACCTCCTTTTCTGCTCTCTAACCTTTCTACCGTCTGCTTTCGTCGCCACTTTCTGCCCCCTTACCCCCACAACCCTTTGCCCTCCTCTGGGCTCCTGAATCGTTCTGTCGTTCTGCAGCTTTTGTAGCTAGCTACTGTTACTCCCATGGCCAATGGCTCCTTATCCTACTGCTGTCTTTCAGCCACATTCCTGATCTTAGGGTAGGTAAAATCTAACACCTAGTCTTATTGGATAAGGGCGAAACACGTGGAGGACCTTGTGCAAGTTGCGCATGAGATCCCTTGGTGGTCCAAACTCGATATGAGAAGTATTTTTAAAATAAGTTTTGGGCGGCGCTCGCAACTGCATGTCATATGAGCGCGCAGAGTAGGCTTCGGCCGCCACTCAGGCAAAATTCTAATTCCAACCAAACTAATGTATTTGTCCCGCGCCCTCTTATGACCTTTTGCAGTTGCGAGCGCCATAAAACATATTTTACATAAGAAAGAAATAATTCTGTTTTTGTTTTTATTTTTTTTTTTTTTTGGGGGGGGGGGGGGGGGGGGCAGGGTTTCATTTTTTTGGGGTCTGTTTTAGCTGAACCGCGAAAGTTGTCTCAAAGATCGTATTATTATGTACGATCTTTGGTTGTCTTCTGGACTTTCGGGAATCACGATCAATGAGATTAAAAGTAAGCTCCTTGGTGGAGTCAACTGCATTCATGAACTCTTGGGACTCCACCACGGAAGTTGTTTGGATGGTCTTTTTGTATCACGGACAATTATCTTTCGGTCAGTTATATCTTCGATGCTTTTATGTTAAAACAACAACAACAACAACAACAACAACATTGAAGAACTCGAGTATCATAATATCAAAAATTGATTCAAATAATATTTTTTTGTTATTCTTAGATCTTTTGTAAAGAGGGTACAAATGGAACATTTGACAGCGCCACCTGTTTGAAGATACATGAATATTATTCCCCTTGTTTGTACAACGACACCGGAAGTGTTCAAACACGCAGATTGACCCCATCACTTCACATTCAGAAATCGATGTGCCTCGTAAGTATTATTGGCCCTGAATGTCTTTCTTCACAAATTACAATTGAAGTGAGAATGGTACACTTCTTTTATTACATTGTGTTTAAGACATCCAATCATATTTTTTGTAGATCTAGATCTAGAATGTGATAAAAAAATAAGAAAGTTTGTCTTGCGTGTGGGCTATCATGTGTGATCCGGCAGTAGCAGTCAATGAAGTCTGAACACGACACGAGACGCACACTGACTGGCTGGATTGACTCTCTCAACTGATAACAGTCGGGTGGACAGAAGAGTGTGTTACGTGGTAGAAGAACTCTACAAATCACTATTGCATTGATACACGTTGTTGAATGAAACATATTTTGAGTCTGATGAAGTAATAGAAATCCAGACAATAGATTTGTGGAGGACTCAGGAATCAAAGAATCCTAATCCAGAGACGTAATTTTGTAATGTTTCAAAATATAAATAAATAAACAGGCAAGTGAGGCAAGCCATAGAGATAGGCATGACATAGTATAGATCCTCTCTAGTGGTTATATTAGTGGCAGAGACCCTGTCCTTAGGGCCTTAGGAAGTGGGTGGTTGGTGGGTGATTTTCTGATATTGTATATTGATATTATGGTCTGCTCCTTTTTTCCTTTGTCTAAGACAGACTAAGAGCTAGAGATCTATGACTAGATTATATCCTACTGTCAATGCGAACAATTACAACTCTATCGCCCATAGGCCTATTTCCCCTCCTTTTCTTAGGATGATAGGCTTCTCTCTTGTAACATCTCCAGTCTTTGGCATTTATAAAAATGGGCCGGCTCTATTTCTCTGAACGTTCGGGAAAATAACTTGAACTCTTATTTCTCCGAACGGTTTCTGTTCTCGAGATTTGTTGATAATAAGCGAATGGAGTGGCCCATGTGTGAGTGTTCATGTGTGTGTGTGTCTGTGTGTGTAAGGTGTAAGATGTGAATGGGGGGGGGGGGGGGGGGGGTTTTTTTAAAATGGCCGCCTCTATTTCTCCGAATGCATGCGAAAATAAACTTGAACTCTATTTCTCCGAATGGTTTCCGTTCTCCAGATATTTTGGTTGTTTGCGAATGGAGTGGCCCATCTGTGAATGTTGTGTGTGTAAGGCGTGAACGGGATTTTTGTTTTGTTTACATGAAAGGATTTTAACGAAAGGATTTTAACTAAATGCAAAATAGGTTGTAACTGCCAAGGTTGATCTGTCTTGTTTTCTTGCAGTACCTTTTGAAGGCATTTTCAAATGGAGTATAGTCTGGGAACGTTGCCCCACCCACAAAAAAAAAATGCTTCTTCCGAGGTCTCGCAGAATGGCAGAGAATGAAAGATGACGCCTAAATCTCGCAAAAAACCAAAAAATCTCGAGAACGGAAACTGTTCAGAGAAATAGAGTTCAAGTTTATTTTCCCGAACGTTCGGAGAAATAGTCACTTCGTTATAAATGATCTATAGATCTAGATCTAAATAGGCTATACAGTAGTCTCCGCCTAAGATCCCGGTGCTCGGGAGCAAGGAAATGCGGGATCTTAACCGACGAACCCAGGGAAGAATCTAGCGTGACCCATGTTAAGGCTCACAATCGATAAAATGGTCTCCCTCCATTGTAAAATGAACTTGGTGGGTTTAAGACGTATGGCGAGCAAAGAGTGGTTAACCTTGATGACCTATCACAGTGCACAGTGGCATGAGGCATGCCATTTTCACTTATTATCCTATCATGAGTCTCAAGATCTATGCTTATCCAGTTGCCCCTCCCCTTTACCTGTCGAAAATTTATAGCTTTCCATCTCTGACCGAGTTCCCCCCAACCACCTTTGTCGTTACACACCATTAGATCTCTACGTTGTGTACACACCAATTAAAATTCAGTCTGTCTCGCAAATTCGGGAGTAGAGACAACTTCTGCAATGGTCAGGGAAGAGTTCACAATTCAATGTGATCCTGCCTGGAGCGAACGTGTTGGCCCTATCCACCCAGCGAGTGATGTAAGTTTAGGGGGACAGCTTAGGACCAGGTGTGAGTGCGATGTTCGGGGAAAACAAACGGGTTGGTCAGTTCACACCCCGGTGTGATCCCGTCTGGGGCAAACATTGTATCGCTTCATCGAGTTTTACAACGTGTATGTGATCACATTCACGATAGTGGCTGATCTTTGACGCGACGGACACTTAATTGATCTCAACTTTTCACCCTTGGTTGATCAGCCGTCCCGCCCGCGTTATTGTTCCGCAAATTATGATCTGAAATGCGGGATCTTAGCCGAATGTAGACCTTCAGAGTGAATCAGAGCGGGATCTTAGGGGTGACTTTTGTATAGTAAAAATGCTGTTTTCTTAAAACAGCGGGATCTTAAGCGAACCGGGATCGTAAGCGGTGGGATCTTAGGCGGAGACTACTGTTATTTGTGTTGCAAATACTGTAAAACTAGATAGATCTACTAGTACTAGATCTAGATTCTTTAGATTCTAGACCTAAAAAAAACTAAATTAAAGTGGCTACGTTCACAGGCCGCCCTGAATGTAGTTTTCAATTTAAGAATGATCTTGCTCACTTCACTTCCTACCCTTTTGCTTTTTTTTCACCCCCTCCCACCCCTCTTCCCGCCTTGGCCTTCTTCTGGACTTCCTTGTTTCTTTGAACGACTTTGATTTCTCAAACTGTCCGCACACCTCGGGAGGAGAGGATAGAAGTTGTGTTCCGCGTACTGAACGAGCAAGGCTTTGTCGACCAGGGCTGTTTTGCTGTGCCTGCCTTCACCCTCTGTAAACTCTGTTGCATTCGGACCACTGCAGCATTATTTTTCACTCATGTATTCGGAGTATTCCTGTGCTGTTTCATTTCGAACTTTGAGCGACCGTAGTGTTTCAGTCGTACCTCTGTGCCAATGGTGGATGATTCAGGGCGTCATGAACATGCGAATAACTTGAGAACGACAGGTGTACGCCCATGGCCGATATTTATAGTAACAGCCATCTTGTTTGACATCATTGAGGGATTCCCACTTTGTTGTCGTTCACGGTGGAGACACGACGGCAAAGCACTATTGCAGTATTTTTAAAGCCTGAAGCTTACAGTGGCGTGGTGACGGAGTGGTTAGTTCGCTTTCAAAGGTCCCGGGTTCGAATCCAGGTAGCGGAGGTCCTGTGTGCAAGTCGCGCACGTTAAAGATCCCTTGGTGGTCCAAAATTGATAAGAGAAGGCTTCAGCCAACATCCGGTCAAAATTCAAAATTTCCCATCAATCGAAAATGTTTGGTATGTCCCGCGCGCTCATATAACCTTATGCAGTAAGTGTAAACACCTACCAAAACAAACAGTATACACTGTACAGGGGGGATGCCCCCCTGAACCCCCAAGATTCTTTTTAGGTCGGGGGGGAGGGGGTATGAACCCCCCATGTTAAAAAACAAGTCAAATTTTACTACGTCATTGGTTTTATTGTACATAGTTCATGTGAAAATATCCATACATCTCACAAACTAATAATTTGCGGTGGATATAAAAAGTCAAAATTCGTGTAAAGCATATATATATATATATAAATTTAGCAAGAAAAGTGCTTTACAATAATTAAGCGTGAACCGTGTCGATGAGTAAAATAATGCCTAGGCTTCAAGTGTTCTGGTCGTGGATCATCAGCGAAAGTGCAGACACATTACAGTCATACTTTTCCCCCTGGACACTGAACAGTGATAAGCAAGATATGAATTACGTCATGACTTTCATGCTGGTCTGTGGAACCGAATGTTGCAGTACATGAGCATAATGTATCATAGTATACACACAACATGCTAGAGTGTATTTTGCAGTCCCACTTTAATTGTCAATGTTAGCTATAGTTTAGAGCATGTGGCGTCGGTGGCCTAATGGTTAGGCTCTCGGACTCGCAACCGTAAGGTCGTGGGTTCGAATCCCGTCAGGGACCCGACGTTGTGTCCTTGGGAAAGGCACTTTACACGAATTTTCCTCACTTCACCCAGGTGGGAATGGGTACCTGGCTATAGACAGCGAAAGATCTTGTCAGTGTGTTAGTGTTTGAGCGCTTAATCAGCTGCTTGCACTGTATGCTTCCCAGGAAGCTGAGAATGTTGCGGAGTGTTCTATGGTCTGCTGGGGTAATAATATAGTGTAAAGCGCATAGAGCCTGCTGTTGAGCGGGGATATGCGCTATACAAATGCTATCTATTATTATTTATTATTATTATGTTAAAATAAATGGCTTTAAAGAAAAGAAAATGCCTCTTGTTTGAAATCAAACTACATCATGACGTTTATATATATATTGCAACACTACAGTAGTTTAGTTTCCCATGCATATTGTGATGATTACGTCAGGGCTCCAAACTCTGTTAACTTTTTAAAAGACTGTGGAGATGGATGAAATTATCCAGTCATGCACATTTAATTTGTTTTAAGCTCGATGATGGATTGATTCTTATCTGGCAGAACTGACACCATAAACATGATGTGAATGTGGGCAATGTCAGATTTTGCTTTTTAACTTTTGACTCTGATTTTATCAGACCTTCCTATATTTAAGAATTTTGCGTAATATTACGAAAATATGCCAGAAATTTGACCCCAGTACAAAAATACAAATGTACTTTGAAAATTGCCAAAATTGAGTCAATTTTATGAATAATTGATTCTACGACTAGAAGAAGCTGAAGAGTGTTTCAAGTGATTAGCCCCTCAGTGACTCAGAATCTAAAGTCATCTCTATGTAAATGGTCAACTGTACATAGCTGTACTTAGAAAATGTAAGTAAGCTGTCACTCAAATTTTTATTCTTTTATTTTTTTTTTTAGTAAGCCCCTACATGGTAGAAGGATAATTGTACTAATATTACTAATTTTTAAGTCAAATTACTAATTTTTGGCCATTTCATTACCAATTTTTAGTCTGTGATTTTTTTAATTATACATCTTATTTTCGGCAAAACGTTCTCCTCCCCGTCTATTCAGCTTCATTCGTGACTTCCAATAAAGATTGTCAGAAATGCTGAGGCTACCAATTACTATTATGAGATGTAATGGTCAGAATAGATACAGAATATTTTTTTGCATTTTCCTTTGTGTCTCAATCAGCCGATGAGCTGTTATGTTTTTTTCTTATTTGTGAATTTAAAGAAACAAACAATTTGCTTTTACACTGTTCTGTTAAAATAGATTTAATGTTATCATTTTCATGTCATTTTTTATCACTTGCTCTTTCGGTGAATGGGGCTTTCTTTTTGTCCCCTATCAGTATCGGTGTTCAGATTTGACAGAAAAAGTATTTGCGAATGGACAACAAAAATTCGGAGCTCGTACAGATTTGGATTAAGAAAAATTTCAATTCAGTAAATTTGTAACCTTTTCCTTGTCATGAAAAGAAAATACATAACCAATCAGTCCCAAGGTATATTTCTACTTTCATCATCATACTAAATGGGCGGTACACATGTCCTTTGTGTACTTTGTGAACATATATTGGTTTTATAGATTTTTAGATGTGATAACGAAAAGCAGTACCAAGTACAGAAATGATAATGGTGTGACTTTACGCTATTACCAATGTCACAAAGAAGAGAACAAACTCTGAGCTGGCTTAGGTTGAGATTATGTGGTGTACTGTTGTATAATACATTGCACTTTTTACTCTTTATTCTTCTAGTTGGCTACCTCAAACATGGCAAGAAACAGGGTGGGGAGGTAGAGGTTGCAACTCTCTTTTTTCTTGTTTTGTGCCACTGTTTTCAGATCCATTGACCTTATGTTTTGAAATTAATGGTCCTTGACTATATTATTATTATGAATGGGTAATCCAGTGCCTTGGTGTCATTTGGTAGGAGTTCTTTCTTTCTTGTGTTTTCCTCATTCTTTTCTATTTTTTGTATTTCTGCAGGATCATGAAGCATTTGTGCCTCATGCTTGGTGTGCTCCTGTGCACTTGCCTTGGTGTGCACAGGGAGAATTTCAGGACATGCAGCCAAAGTGGATTTTGCAAGTAAGAATTGTTATTAAATGAATATTTTATTGTAATTTAAAGTGTTTTTGTGACTATATTATATCAGCATTACTATTGATTTTTTTAAAAGATGCATGAAAGAAAGTCTTTTTACTGTTTCTCTTATCTATTTCTGTTTTTATGATGGAGTATTGCGGGTGATTGGTGGATGCTCTGGTGTGGTTTGCTCCTTCTTTCCTATCAAACATCTATTATCTTTATCTCCCCTCTTTGTTACTCTCTTGTAACACCTCTAATCTTCGGCACTTACATGACCTTGTGTTGCAAGTGCCGTAAAACTCTTACTAAAACTAAACTATGATGGAGTACATGGTAAATAGTGAACTTATTTCAATGTGTTACAAGTGTGTTAGTGTTACTAAAGTTCATTTGGATTTGTGAAATGTGCATTTTCCTTTTTGTTGTAGATTTGTCAGATGATATTTTGCTTTTTGTCATGAGTCTATGAAATGTTTTGTCGGGCTTATATCAAATACTTTTTTGCTTCTTTGTGATTGGTTTATCAAATTCTCTTTTGATTCTAGTCTTGGGTTTGTGAAGTGTAATTTGTCTTTTTGTTATGCAGGCGTCAACGTAACATGGAGCCTGGTACCTCCAGTTACGTCGTACAACCGTCCACTCTGCGCATATCATCCAGCTCACTCATGGTAGAAGTGTTGAACACCAAGAACAACATACGCTTTCTACTTCAAGGCTATGGTCTTCAACACGGTATCTTCAGAGTGAAGCTAGCAGAGGCTGAAGCACTGAGGGAACGATATGAGATTCCTGTTGGGCTGACGCTGGTTGCTGAGCCTGTTCAGGAAGAGTGAGTTTTTCTTTTCTTATCTGCTTACACGTGGCACATGTCCATAATTTCTGTGTTGTATATAGGGTTTCATATTTGCTTTCCTTTATTTAAAAAAGAAATGATAGTATTGATACCCCAGGGGTATTGTGTTACTTTTTTTCTGCCCAGAATATCTTGAGATGGTCTCTTTCTTAAAAAAATAAATATATACGCTTGCTTGGCTTCATTTTCTAGGGGCTGCTAAATTTAAGTTTAAACAGATTTTTATAAATGTATTGATACTAATTTTAATTTTGTTTATTTTAAATTTGTTTTTGACTAGATTCTGTAATTGTTTTTTTTTTTTTCAGGCTGAAGTACCATGGTGAAAAAGATGGCAAGTTGACATTTTCTCTAGGACAAAATAAGATGGTGATCAATGTCAACCCTCTGAGGCTGGACTTTTTGATAAATGATGAACCAGTTACCAGTCTCAATGCACAGGGCTTGCTGAAGTTTGAGCACTCTCGTACCAAAGAGTAAGCATGTTTTGCATGAACTATTTGTGTTCCTTGTTCAAGGGTTTCTCTTTCTAAGAATGTGAAGGTAATATCTCCTTATAGGGCAATTCAAAATACTAATTCATATGTTTCAAAGGTAGTTGCTGTCCATATTTAAAGAACTATCTCTTTCACGCTTGGCTTGTTTGGCTTTCATAATGTTGGGCTAATAAGAGCAATAAATGGTAAGAGTAAGAGAGCATTTTAAAAATTGAGTGTAGGTTGTACGAGCAGAGTCCAATTAAAATTTTAATGTACCAGTGTGGTGTTACTTTTTTTGGAAACTGAAATAAAATATGTTGAAAATGGTTTTTGTCCTTATACCCCCCTCCCAAAAAAAAATAAGGTGTGCTTATCTGTAACAGTTTAACTAATAATAATATTAGCATGATGGAAATGTGACAACTATCTCTCTTTTTAGTTTATTTCTTTTTAGATTATGGAGGTACTAAGACACTTATTGTCACTCTGGTGAAAAACTTGCATAAATTTAGACAATAGAACCTGGCTGAAAAATGTACTTTTTATTTGTAGTATAAGGAATTTTTCACATAATCTATATGGACATTGCTTGAGAAGTACTCTTCCAGTATGCATTGCAAAGTTCACCAAGGACATTGAATAGATGCCCAACAAAGGCAAGGTAAAATGTGCACTGTTTATTGCCTACACATACACAATATTTGAATGTCATAATGATTATAGATCATATAAGTGCACTTTTGTGTAGTGATGGCATATGTTGGCCTATAAAGTTGGTGACGTATCTGTAAATATAACTAGAAGTTTTCAAATATTATCTTTTTTTTTTTTTGGAGGCGGGTACTATCACATAATGTGTTGAGCTTTTGCATCAGAGTAATTTTATGCCAACAAATTTCTATGAATCTTAAAATATTGTTCAGAATTGGCTTCTCAGTCAACTACTTTTTTTTTTCAAGGTGACAGCCCACATTTAACAGTGGAAAATTACTTACACTTACAGTCTAGTGGAATCTATGCAAACTTTAATGTTTCTTTTTCTAAAAGGGATCAGAAGATGTATTTGGAAAGTGGATTACTTTTTTAACTACTTTTTTTCTTTGCTTGAGAACACATTTTTCAAGTGGTGTTTGTTTATTTAGATGCATATTTAGTATTTGCAGCTTTCAATGTTCATTTCATAGCTTCTACAGACACACAAGTAAGGCTTGAAGTGGGAGACAGGCAGAAGAAAAGAGTACTTGACCAATAAAAAGTTAGGTAGTTAGTTATGCAAGTACATAAATGAAAACAGGTCCCTAATAAAGCAAGACTTTATGTAAAAGATTAGAACTGTTTAGGAAAAACACTTAACAAATGCAGTTTTTCGGTAGATGGACACATTTGTCTTGTCCACTGTTTACTCAGTTTCATATGTCACTCATATTCAGCTATGATTTGTTCATGTACAGTAGTCTCCGCCTCAGATCCAACTGTTTATGATCCAGTTCCCTTAAATTTTGCTGCTTTGAGAAAACAAAATTTTAATGATAATAATAATAAATGATATTTATGCAGTACACAGTCTCTGAGCGCTTTACAATATAATACAATGTACAACAGTAACATAAAACGTTGTGTTCTGACTAAAAGGAAATCGCTCCATATATTCATCTTATTAATTTAAGAACAGAAATGACTTCAGCTGACATTTGAATAAATCAACAGATTTGATCACTCTTAAAGTACTTGGCAAAGCATTCCAGATCTTGGGGCCTTGATATTCCAATGCCTTTCACCCATTGTTTTAAGTTTCATAGATGGTAAAAGAAATTTCTTTTTGTCCGCTGATGACCTTAAACTGCAAGTTAGAATGTACAGTCTTAACAGATTTGATAAATATGATGGCGCACATTATCATTCAAGCGTTTGTGACATTGGGTGGCCAACTTGTACACAATTCTTTTCTCAACAGGAAGCCAGTACAATGTCCGTAAAAGAGGTTTAGCAGAGTCTCACTTTCTTTTCCATAAAACGAAACGTGCAGCATTGTTTTGGACAGTTTGAAGTCTAACTTTCTCCTGTGATATTCCTGATAACCATGAGTTACAATAATCGAGTCTTGATAAAACTAAGCTAGTTATTACACAAGTCACCCCAAAGATCCTGCTCTGAAGGACAACATCCGGCTAAGATCTTGCGTTTCAAATCATAATTTATGGAACAAAAACCTGTGAGTGCGCAGCTGATCAACTAAGCAGTGAAAACTTAGGATCATTATACTGCCCGTTGCAATTTACCCCTGTGAATGAGATCACATCTCCGTTTTTTATTTTCGATGAGTTTGCACAATGTTTACCCAAGACAGGATCACGTGAGATGTGAACTTGTTGACATGTTTGTTTTTTCTACCCGACCCTTCGCCTGAACTCTCATCAAATGTTGTGTGGGTACGGCCTACAAGGCCGCATCAGACAGGATCACATTTAACCGTGAACTCGTCAGTGCCACTGTTTCTCTTATCATAGCAGCAACTCTCAAATTTGCTAGACAGACTGGATTTTAATTGGTGCAGTCTAAATACAATGATCCGTAACAGCAGTGGCAAGATACCTCTGTCAGACTTGGAAAGCTATACATTTTGTAACAGATTAAAGGGTGGGTTAATGCGATTGAAGGGAACTTTGAGACTGTTGGATAATTTAGTCACTCTTTGCTCACCATAAGTCTTAAACCCACATAGGGATCATGTCAGTACATTTCAAAGCAAGGGGAGAACATTTTAGTGATTGTGGGCCGGACCATGATTCACCAAGGATTCTCCCTCTGATGATTCGGCTAAGACCCAGTTCTCCTTAGAGAGCACATTTTCCTTGCTCCCAAGCACTGGGATCTTAGGCAGAGACTACTGTATTTGTTATTTTATTGTATATTTCATTTAGTTTTATTTGCAGTGTTTTCACTTTGAGTTCCTTTGCGTTGTTAAAGCTATTTGATGACATCCGGTGCACGTTTCTCGCTGCATCTCACATAAATCAACAAAGAAATTTTATTTGATTTAATAATTGGTTGGTACCTTATTTATTTCGTTCAGTTTTCATTTGGTCTACTTTATGTATGGTATATAAACATTATCTATGATTGTTGGTTTGTCAGTGTGCGGTCAATATGTTTTTGTTGTAACATATTGTTACCGTCAAATAAAGTATGCACGCATTGGTGGTCTCTTGCTCCATACTTCCATCACGTATTCTATTTGTATTTTGGAAAGCATGTCTTTGTTGACCTTTTGTTTCTCAAGACGTGTTTCCACCATTTCATTCTTTTTTTCACAATGATACTTGACGCTCTTTGTGTCTGATCAGGGGCTGGTTTTCTTCCCTGGGCTCGTCTGTATTCTCATTACTTTCACAACCTTTCAGAGAGGCCAAGGACGAAGGGGCTGGTGAAGAGTCTGAGGGAGAGCAGAAGGTGAGTTTATGGACGTGAGGAGAAAGTGAGGAAAATATAAGAAAACAACCCCCCCCCCCCCCGTTAAATATATAGATAGTTTCAGTATGATTCTTTACTTCATTTTTAATTCGATAAGGCAATGAACGAAGGTTATAAAAGTTACAGATGGTTTTTGGAAATGTTCTTGAGTTTTGTTCCTTTGTTAGGGTGTTGTACATAAGGTAAAGCTAATTGTACAAGTTAGGTCTGCTTTAATAAAATTACCCGAAATTTTTCTTTTCCGTCAGGAAAATTTTTTGTAGAAGTAAAGGCTGATCTGTACTCCCTAAAAAATTCATCTTTTTTAATTAAAAAAGGCTGAAGGTTTTAAGAATGGCTTATTAAAATTTTTTAATGCTCATAAAGACATTGGGATTAACAAATGTTTGTTTTAGGCTTTAGCTTCAATTGGACGGAGATGCTTAACGTAGGTTGTAGTAGCTTTTAACTGCTTGGGTGTCGGATGATTACTTTTTCATTTTGCATTTGGAAATTCACTGTCTTAATTATGTTTCTCTGACATCTGTACTCCCTTTTTCCTGGGCATTTATAGTGGTGTATAGTACCCTTTCGATTTCACTTCCTTTCCTTAATACAGTATGTATACCTATTTGGCGACCCCCCCCTCCCCCCCTTACTTTACTTATTAATAGAGTTTGCTTGACTGAAATATGTTTTAATTTTTTATTTGGAACTCCTATATTTTTTAACACTCACCCATTTACTGGCTGTTGGAAACTATTGGATAGTACCAGGTTTTCAGTAGATTTAAAGCAGCATGAAACACATTCTTAAAGTATTTTTGCAGGCCAACTGGTCATAAGAACAAAATACAATAAAGCCTTTATAACGGGAACTTCAGAGGACTAGAGAATTTACTTGGCTAAATAGAGAGCGAATAAAAAAAACAAAATAGGAGAGACAACGCGTCTCTTATTGTTCAGCTCAAATGCAAGGCTTTGTGTAACCTATTTTTAGTTATTGATAACACATGCAGAGCTGCCGAGTGTGATTTGTTCCTTCTGCTGAGTCTTCTTTTCTGTGTTTCTGTTTTCCTAAAAATTTATCCATGGCAAAATGGGGGTTTTATGATACTGACCTGATAAAAATAGACACAAACAACTACTCAACAACAACATTAATTCATTAATTGATTTTCTACTACTGATTAACTGTCCACACCATTTGTGATGAAAGCCTGGTGTTGTTTTTTTCCCCCTTGCATTTATCCCTTTGGCTGGCGAATTTGTGTGGCACTAACCTTAATTTACTGACTCAGATCAGCTAAACTTTTGAAGTGAATCCCATGAGAGTCATTTTGACCAATATCTGAAAAGCCACTATTTTACTGCTCTAAATTTTTTTTGCACTTAAAACGAAAGGTTAGACAGTTTGTTCACTTCACAATATGTTTTTAAATTGTTGTGTTTTGGTTAATGCTTCATTTTTAAAATGGAGTTGATTTAGGTCTTAAGAAAATGTTTTGTTTCTATTTTTGCTGCATTTTTGAGTCTGGATTGCGCCACCTACTAACTGCTAAATAAATTCTGTATTATGATTTACTTAAAAATAGAAAGGTAACTTTCTCTGTCTATTGTAAGTGTAGTGGTAACTTCATTTAGATATCTAAAAAAACTGGACCCAGATCTAGGGTAGGTTTGATTTAGAACTGTCTAGAGTAGACTAGTCTAGATTAGAAAACCAAGTCTTGCTTTGTTCTGTCATGGATGAAAAAAATAAGGAAATATTTGATAAAAACTAGTTTAGAGAGTAAATTAACTTGTTGTTAAAATCATTCAGGACCAATAAGGTAATGTTAAAAGTCACACTGAGATATCTTCACTTTTTGACAGAGTAAATCAAGATATCTTAGTTTTGGTCACGTGTGAGTTTGCATTGCTTTATCTTGGCAGCATTGTTTTTGAGTTCCCGGAACTGTTCCTTCTCGCTACATTCCTCCCTCACCTTCATTTAGCCTTTTGTTCTGTTATGATGTAGTTGAGTTTCGTGTGCCTAGGTCTTTATGGAAGTAGCACTGTAGGGGCAAGTGATGTTTTAATACGTACCTGAGGGTTCATCAAGGCATGTTTTGGCTTTTGTAGTACTAATACTTCTCTGTCGAGATTGGCTGGGCTGCTGTTTGAATTTGTCAGAAACTTTATCTTTTTAAAGAGATCAGTTGTGGTAAACTTCCTTTTAAAGTGTGATGTTTTAATAAATACTTCTTCAGACAATAGGTTCTATGTTCACTTTTGTGTCCAAGCTCCAGATTCAGAGATTAAGTCATTGTGAAATGAGGCTGTCCTACCTAGCTCTTTTTCTCCCATTCCTCTTTGACCGTGAAATACTTAAAGGGTGCGCCATTGGTTCAGTTGTTATCATGATGGACAATGGAGCGGATGGCCCAGGCTTTATGAACTTACATTATTTTTGGGAGTCCTTTAGTTTTAGTAAGAGTTTTACGGCACTTGAAACACAGTAAAGGTCATATATGTGCCGAAGATTAAAGTTGGTACAAGAGAGTTACAAACATAAAAAAGGAGGAGAGATAAAGATGATAGTTGTTTGATAGGAAAGAAGGAGCGAACCACACCAAAGCATCCGCCAACCGCCCACTGGGAGTCTTTAAGGCTGTTCACTCATTTGGTTTGGTCCTATTAGAGATGGGCATTAAATTGGAATGTTCCTCTTTTACATAATCATACAGCATGGAAGGGGTGTTAAACCTATAAACAGTGACTTTGACATACACCGGCTGTCATTCTCCATCCCTTATGCTTGCTGCAAATGATAAATGGCCAGTTAAATATAAAGGAAAGGGGGGAAAACGATCTGTTATCTGAAGGAGAAGAAAACAAAGGGGGATTGATATATCATTTGTGAAGTCATGTATACGGATAGGTTTGGTGCACCTTTTTGTTTTTGGACAATTATATCATGTGACTGACTTCCTGTCGTGGAGAATGGGAAACCTGTGAAAACTACTAATGTCTTCTGTGTTGTTTGTTTCAGGAAGAGGGAGAGGAGGTTAAGGCTGAGGAGGAAGAAGAACCAGACATGTGGGAAGAAACTTTTAAAGGGTTCACCGATTCCAAACCCAATGGTACTTTTCTGTCCCTGTCTTTTATTAATGTGTGAAGCTTTTCTAAGGTTCCAATTCAGGCAGCTGATTTTATTCATTTGACTTTGCTTGCTGCCACATGCCTGAGCTTTAGCTTTGGCAAATGTCTTAAGAGTAACTTTTAGAATTTCATGTTTAACCATCTAACACTTTTAGATCAGCGGTGCGCAGTCTTATCTATTCACACCTAGAGATGCATTGCGTGGTGTTTCAATTTCTGAGCGCTTGACACTGCTGTGGGATACTTTTTTAGAGGTCTTGGAAGAATGTTTGATTAGAATTGTTTGAAAACGAGGCTTTAAAGTGCAAATAAGAGTTGTTTTTCATTCTATGAGGTTGAATTGACCCAGAAATAGTGTGTGTGTGAATTTTTACAGTATATATATGACAAAATAGAGGATGCGATGGAGTTGAGACTTGAACTAATTAGAGGAAACTTTGAAATAACATAAAAATTGAGCCTGTGAAACGATCCGGACTAGATGAAGACAGGCTGAGTGTTCATTTCTCAGTCTACGGTAAAATCATATTTTCAAGTGAAAGAGGAGTTGGTTATTATTTTAATTTGATGAAATAGATGGGTTATGAATGAAAACCGGATGGTCACAACTATAATGGGAGAAATAAATAACTTGCCTATACCATATTGTATCACAGCGGAAACTGGCTCAAACTGACTCGTTGGAAGCAGCATTCTTTTCCTAGTATAGTTGCATTTTTCGAGATCATTTAGTGAACATTTTAAAAAAAATGAAATTTTAAAAAAAATGTATATATAATATGTTTAGTATTATATCACCCTTTTCATATATTTCGGGGCATGTATCAGGGCAACTCCACAGGAGCTAAATGGTTAATGGAGTTGAAGTGTTGGTAACCAGAAAAATCTCCTTTATGATCAACAGCCATGCAGTTTGTTATAGACTTTTCTAATGCAAGTTTGCTTGTAGTCAGCTTCAAGTACTAATCAGATATCTGCACCCTCTTTTTTTTTTTCTTCAAGTAGACAGAAGTTTTGCAGTGACATGTATGTAGTTCGTTGATAAAAAGTTCAGATGTATAATGTATGTCTGCAGTATGATGATGATGCAAAGTGTACAACTGCTAGATAAAATTGACTTTGTTTTCAGGTCCCGTGTCAGTTGGCTTGGACATAGCATTCCCGGGATTCCGATACGTGTATGGTATTCCTGAGCATGCCGACACGTTTGCGCTGAAAACTACAAAGTGAGATTCAGATTTTGATATAGTGCCATGTTTGTTTTATTTTTTTTGGTAGTTTTTCAAAATTTGATATGGAAAATATAATTTTGAAACAAAAGAATTTGATGCGGGGAAAGCTGGACATTCAGAAAAATCTTACAGCAAAACCAAATATATTTACAAAAACCTAAATGTTGTCTATATTTTATGTGGTACCATTTGTCACTACTTTTGCAAAAGGTACAGATTATTTGAAAAGTATAAAAGTTGCTGTGAGCCTGTGAGGGATCAATGCATGAGCTTTAGTTTGGTGTTCATTGTTTAAACAGAAGATGACCTTAGAAATTAGGTTTCATTTTCGTAATCCATGTATACGTTTTCCTTTTAGTATCATAGTCATATTGATTGTTATTCCTTTCATATTTCAGAAACACTGATCCTTATCGACTGTATAATTTGGACGTGTTTGAATATGAGCTCAACAGCCCCATGGCTCTCTATGGACACATTCCTTTCATGGCTGCTCACAAGTAAGTGGGATATTTTACAAAAGCGTTTGCACTGTGCAGTGTTTAGTTTTTTGCAATGTGCAGTGTTTAGTTTTTGCAGCATTAGCATGTTTAGGTTATGGGGGATTGGAGAGTGCAGCTGATAGGTCTTATCTCACCCTTTTCCCTGCACTAGATGATGATTATTGTGTTGATTGAAGGAGAAGGGGATCTAAAGAGGAGAACGGAAACACAGCCACCCGTGCAGACCAGTCCGACGGATCTCCAACTAGATTATGATGGGGACTATAAGCAGACAGACTCCGGGATGGATCCTGTAGAGAGGGGGAGAGTAGAGAGGGACATGTTCCGACTGTAGTGACCCCAACACTGTTGACAAGGTGTGACAAGGTGTGACAAGGTGTATTGTGTTGATATGCTTCTCTTTCCTCAAACAGTTTGAAATGTTTTGTTTTGTTGTAAATAATGAATAAATGTGACAAGGAGATGTTGAATGTTGAGACAAGGTGTGAAAGACGTGTCATTCATTTCATAGAAAGTCTTTTACTCAATCATCTATACTCCACAGATGTTGGTCTCCTTATCATTTATATAGATCACAACTGGCCTAGCATTGATGGGCTTAGTCTTGGTTGTTTTCACCGAAATATTGCCTTTTTAACCTTCCGTACGATTCAAAGTTCTAGGATGTGCACCAGAAATAGTTTTGTTTCGTTTGCCAGGTTCATGATGTTGTAATTCGCTTTCTTTCCATTTCAATTTCAGTGAAAAAAACACAGTAGGTGTGTTCTTCCAGAATGCTGCTGAGGGTTGGGTTGACATCCACTCCAATGTTGCTGATAAAGTGAGTGTTAATTTAAGCAGTCTCCTTTCTTTTTCATAGCTTCCAACCGGGATGTAAAAAACCATGTTTAATGCATTTTTTAAAGTTCTGTTTTTGTAAAGGAATACATGTATTCTCAGTTTTCTTTTGCTGCTTTTCACAGACATGCCGATGTTGAAAAAAATTTTGGGACCGTAACTCTTTAAGGACGTAGCAGACTTGTGTGTCCAATCAGTAGAGGATCAAAGACAACACATGCAATTTAAAATATGAATTTAAATGTTTCTCAGTATGCATTTTGCAGCCTGCCTTTTAAAGGTGTGGATAAAGAAAACGGAACTGAAAAATTCGTGCAAATAAAGAAGTTATGCTTCTTTGCTCTTTTCAAGTATCCCAAAACAGTTTGTTTTCAAGTATGAAAAACGCGCGTCCTCAATGAGTGAAAAAACACAGTTTGCGAATAGTAATGCAAATGAAACGCACAAGTCAATTGGAGAGATCATTTGCTGCAGCATTTTGCTTTGAATAGCTTGAATTTATTGAATGGAGAAAACTGCGTGTGAAGGGTTTGGAGGGGGTTGCCAGGCCAATGCTCACCATTCTGACACACATTGTTCATAGAATCTGTTGTTTTTTTTGTTGAAAAGTTGTCAGCTATGTGTACTTGTAAGTCATGCTGATTTGAAACCTTTGTTTAAAATTGTAAGTGTTGTTTGGCAATATTGTGTGTGGCTGTTCTTTTTAGGAGTGCTACTGGTTTTTGTTTCTGTTTTTAAAATTTTTTGTTGTTGTTGTATTTTTTTAGTTATTCATGCCTGACTGTACTACTAGTGTCCTTTTTCTCCAAAGCTGCCTTTTTTCACATGCTTTGTTATCTGTTCTAATTTTCAGTCTGTTTTCTCCAATCTGGCTGACTTTGTCACTGGAAATAATGAGGTTCCTCAGACTGACACCCACTGGTTCTTTGAGGATGGAATCATTGACATCTTTGTGCTCCTCGGCCCAGGTCCCAGAGATATTTTCAAGCAGTATGCCAGTCTGACTGGGAATACCCCACTGCCACCAGTAAGAAAACTTTTTGCAGTTATTTGTACCCCAAAGTAGTGATATGTTTGTTGCAGTTCAGTTAGTGAGAAAGGGTGGAAGTGGGTGGTTGGCGGGTGCTCTGGTGTGGTTTGCTTCTTCTTTCCTAACAAACGCCTATTGTCCTCATCTCCCCTCCTTTTTTGTTTGTTACCCTCTTGTAACACCTCTAGTCTTTTGGCGCTCATATGACCTTATGCAGTTGCGAGTGCCGTAAAACCTCTACAAAAAGAAAGAGTGGAAGGAAAACACTCATTAGTTTGATGTGAGTGCGTACACAGATGTGTGTTTGAAATGAAATTTGTTTGTGTTGCAGTTTGATCTGATTGCCTGCAGAGATGTGTGTTTAGAATCTGGTACTGCTGTCATTGAAATTGTGCAGTAATGTGTTTGTTTTCACTTTAAAAAAAAATCCTTATGATAGTTAGGGAATGAAAAGTTGAAAAACATTTTTGGGGGGAGAAATTTGTTAACCCAGCTGTTGCAGTTTTATTTGTCAGTTGTCAGTTTAAGAAATTGTTCCCCCACAGCAGATGTTAAGTCATGAACTTCGACAAAGCTATGTTTGTGTTATGTTGTGCAAAACATAACTACTCTGGTTATACTTTTTAGATTAATGTTTCATTTACTTGTCTTGCTGTTAATACATTACAATGCTTTTCAGAATCATTTAACACTTTGCCATCGCAAGGCTCATAGAGTAAAAACCCTTGCCATCAAAGGCAAAGGCATTTTGGGGGAAAATTCAAAGAAACCCGGGGGGGGGGGGGTTGGTAAACATCGCAGATAGACGAGATGTGACGGAAAAGTGTTAAATTCTAAAAAATGTGAATTTTGGTCGTTTACTCTATGGTTTTGACTGTCCGTGGACCTTTTTTTTTGTCAGTATTTCGCAATATGTTGTGGGTATACCTCAAGATAAATCTAGCATATTTTCTTTTTCTTTATAGCTGTGGTCTCTGGCTTATCACCAATGCAGATGGAATTACAATGACCAAGACGATGTGAGAAAGTAAGTGAATGTATTGTATTTGAATGCATGAAAAAGAGGGAAAGGAGAAGAGAAAAATACACTTTTTTTTTTACCTTTCGGAATATTTTTCTTGCTTTCTCATGTACAAAAGCTAACATATGATACAGGGTTATATCGTCCTTACAAAGAAAGTAATAAATCGATAAGCTCATATGAACAAAGACTATTTGCTCCTCCTCACTCTGTTTTTTGAGTATGGGTTATAAGAGTGCTGTTCAGAGACGCACACTCCAGTGACGGTTAGTCTCATGTTGGATAAAGGGAAGGCATATTACTTAATTGTGATGTGTGTTCATTACCGTAAGGGTTTGTTTTAAGGTGTAGATGTATTTTTTTTTGTGGTCAGTTTTATTACTTTTTGTGCGGTTTGTAGTTATCAGTTTCCTTGCTTTTTTAGCATTAGGTTGCTGTATGGGCACTTGAGTATTTATACCTTTTGTTGTAGGTTGCTTATATCTTCTTGTTATGTTAATCTTTTTTGCCATGCTACTGTTCTTTTTTATGTCTTTTTTTCAGTGTGGATCAGACGATGGACAAATTTGACATTCCATTTGATGTGATATGGCTGGACATCGAACATACAGATTCTAAAAAGTACGCCTTTTAGATAAATATAACTTTTTTTTCCCCCCGGGCCAAACTGATTTGTCTTGAAAGATACATTGGTCCGCTTTATGTGCAGTTTCAAAGAATAACTGCTACAAAAATACTGGTATTATTGATGATTAGGGTGATAATTGAACAGATCATTGTGATAATATATTAACTATAATAGTGTAATGCCCAGTGTTTTAAGTAAACAGATTTCTTTGACTTTATTTTTGAAAAATAGATTAACCTCAGTCCATGTAAAGTAATTAACCCCCCCCCCCCCCCCCCCCCCCGGGGCTGTACTACTGACTGAAGTATCTTTAGACCATTCCCAAAGGGGAGACATTAATGTTCTTATACACAAAAGAATTGGTTCATGATTCATGAATGTCATGCTCATAACTGTGCTTGAACTGCTGCTTTTTCTTTCCTTATCCTTACTATCGTCATTTTCCCTCTACTTCTTTTGTATGTTTGTCACACTCTTGTGACCCGCTATTTCCAGGGTGCCTTGATAGTGGAAGCAGACTTTGTGCTGTTGAAGCTAGAGAAGTGAGCAGAGTAAGCTCGATTCCCTGTAAGGACTTCTCTGTTGACATCCACCCCTTGGCGCTCATGTGACCTTATGCAGTTGCGAGTGCCGTAAAACCCCTACTAAAAAAAAGTAATTAAAACATTTATAAATATGTGTCCTTTAACTAGTTCATGATGTGTCTCCTTTGTGCACTTGTTTTCTCATGTTCATGTTTGTCTGATTGATTCACTTTTTATGCAGCCAGTAGCTTGTGCTCTTCTAGTAGTCTGCTCTTTCTACTCATTAGAATTGTTTTTATTGCCCTGAATTTTTAGAGGCCAAAACAGCACCAAGACATCGATGGCTGGTGCATCTATAAATAAATTATTGATGGTCTATAGTCTGTGATATTGAGTGTAGTATGTGGCTGTTGTTCTGCCTCTTGTATACCGCAACTCTGTTGCTCTTGTGTGGTTTGCTCTTTCTGTCCAATCAAACATCTATTGTCCTTATAAGTCCTCCTTCTTTTTTATGTATGTTGCTCTCTTGTAACACATCTTTTCTTCAGCACTTATATGACCTTAGTGTGTTGTGAGTGCCGTAAAACTTTTAATAAAACTAAAACTAAACTTTTGCTTTTCTGTCGTTGTACAGATACTTCACCTGGGATGGCAGCCGCTTCTCCAACTCCATTGAGATGCTGAGGAACCTTTCATCGAAGGGCCGCAGGATGGTGACCATTGTGGACCCCCATCTGAAACGTGAAGACGGTTACCGCGTGTACAGCGATGCTCGGGACAAGGGGCTCCTGGTGAAGAACAAGGACGGCAATGACTTTGATGGCTGGTGCTGGCCAGGTGGGTCTGGCAGGAAAGTTTCTCAATGAGTGTGGTTCTCCGAGTTTCACAATGAGCATGGTTCTCCGAGTTTCACAATGAGCGTGGTTCTCCGAGTTTCCCAATGAGTGTGGTTGTCCAAGTTTCACAATGAACGTGGTTGTCCAAGTTTCACAATGAGCGTGGTTCTCCGAGTTTCCCAATGAGTGGTTGTCCAAGTTTCACAATGAGCGTGGTTCTATGAGTCTCACAATGAGCATGGTTCTCCGGGTTTCACAATGAGCGTGGTTCTCCGAGTTTCACAATGAGCTTGGTTCTCCAAGTTGCACGCTGAGCTTGATTCTTTGAATTTAACCTTGAGTTGGTTCTCCCGAGTTTCACACTGATCCTGGTTCTAAGTTTCTAACCGAGCTTGGTACTTCAACACATGTCTTTCTAATTTTTGTGTCCTCTCTCATCATTTAAATGGAAAGGGTAATTTTTTTAAATGTTGTAAAATTTTCAAGGGGCATTAAATAAACTTTATGAATGTTTTTAAATTTTTTTTAAAGGAAATGCAACAAAGTAGAAAATCTTGTTTTAAGAAAATGAAAAGAAGTTTGACAAAATCCCTGTCTTAACATTATTCACATTTAATGGCTTCAGTACATTGCATTTTTTTTCCTAGTCAGAAATAGGAAAACCAGGGAAGTGCTATTGGGAGACTAAGATGACTAACCAAGATATACAAATTTTAAATGTTTTTAATACCATTGGTCTTTCATGCTCTGAATTGAAAGTGTTTTTGAGAGCACTGGAGAGGTTTATAAGAGTGTAGGAAGAGTTTATGAAGACACAAGATGCGTAATGAATATATTATTTTTGCTTCTGGATTTTATTCTATTATATAAGAGGTTCATGAAGATAACCCTCATCATCGTGATATTCAAGGGAGTACTTACTACTGTATTTCTGCCTCTTTGTACCTCTTCAGGTTCCTCCAGCTGGCCTGACTTCATGGAGAAGCATGTGCGTGACTGGTGGGCTGATCAGTTTGCCCTGGACAAGTATGTTGGCACGGCCGATAACCTCTTTGTGTGGAACGACATGAACGAACCTTCGGTGTTCAATGCGCCTGAAATAACTTTTCCGAAGGACGTAAAACATTTGTCTGGGCGAGAGAACCGAGAGGTCCACAACCTGTTTGGAAAGCTAGTGGTCAGTGGCTTTTTATTTATTGTCTTCTAAAATTGTTACTGCTCTTTTCTCTCAAATGTAAGAAGTAAATATACAATGGAGTCCTCTTATACTGAAATCTGCAGGACTGCTTCATTTTTGTCGGTTTAGTAGTATTTTTAGTTTCGAGAGATTGCTCGAACAGCTAAGGAAAAAAACCTCCAGGATTTTATTTTCTTTCTATTAACTGCTGGTTTGGATTAAGTGTATTCACTGTAAGTAGATTCCACAGTGTATATATATATATACATACATATGTGTACTGGGAAAATGAAGTTTCTATTGAAATTGTTTTAATATCCTTAAGTAAAAAAAAAAGAACTTTAGGTTTGATTCCCTTTATAGCATCTGTGAAACTGTACAAGCTTTTCCTTTTATGATTTCTAAAGGATAGTCAGGGCTGTTCAGGGACTTTTTCCTGCTGAGAGATTGCTCAGCAGATTCAGATTTGGTTGCACTGTATTGTGGGTGAAGAGACAGGTTGAAATATTGATTAGTATTATTGATTGGTACTTTCAGCATGACGCTACTTTTGATGGTCTTCTTAAAAGAAGTAATTACCAGGAGAGGCCTTTTGTGTTGACCAGAGCTTTCTTCGCTGGAAGCCAGAGGACAAGTAAGTTGTTGTGTGTGTGTTGTTAGACAATACCCAAGTACATGATCGAAGGTCTTTGAACTTAAGGTCATGTCATGATATAAGTTTTCTCAACATTTTTTTAAAGAAAGTGTGTGTTTCCTTTGCCTTTGTGTCAATCTGTCAGAATTGCAATTGCCAGTTTTATTCAAAATGCTTGATATCACTAAACTAATAGTTGACATGACCATTCCTATATTATTTTACAGCTTACAAAGAAGGTACAAGGGAATATTTGAATAGATTAATCTCTGATATGCCAAACTCAGACGAATACATATTTTTGTTTTGAATGAGGGTGGTCCACAGTACAAGTAAGTGGACCTGAAAATCAAAAAGCTGTGTTTATTTCTGTGTTCACAAATTAGAAATCATTAGGTAAATGAAATATTGATTGAAAAAAGAGAAAAGTTTGCCTCGACAGTTTCATGTTGTATAGTAAACAAATAAGATAGGCCCAGGTCAGAGCATCACATTATATCACTCTTGTCACAACGCTGTATTATAACAATGGCTATTCCCTTCTCAGGTGCGGTCTGGACTGGAGACAACATGGGAGAGTGGAGCCATCTGAAGATGACCGTACCGATGATGCTGTCTCTGAATCTGGCTGGCATACATTTCTCTGGTGCTGATGTCGGAGGCTTCTTCAAGAATCCTGACAATGAGCTCTTGACGAGGTGGTACCAGGTGAGTTCACCGTTGTAAGACAAGTACTTTTTTAATGAATACTTTAGATGATTATGTATAATGTGGATGTGGCTGTATCGTTGCTTTCTTTTAGTGGGTGGTTGGCGGGTGCTCTGGTGTGGTTTGCTTCTTCTTTCTTATAAAAAATCTATTGTCTTTATGTCCCCTCCTTTTCTTTTTGTGTTTGTTACTCTCTTGTAACACCTCTAATCTTCAGCACTTATATGACCTTATTGTGTTGCAAGTGCCGTAAAACTCTTACTAAAACTAAAAAACTCACTCTAGATGTGATTTGTTTGAAAAGCTGAATTCTTTGGCCAAAAAATTACTTAGTTTTTCAATTTAGGACAAATGCCATGTTTAAGAAAGGCACCGGTTGTTGATGATTATGCTGTTTTAGAATTGAACCCATCCAGTGTCAGAACATCTTCTGTCTACCCTTCTTATGTCTTTTTTTCCTGTTAGGCTGGAGTCTTCCAACCATTTTTCCGTGCCCATGCCCACATCGACACAAAACGCCGTGAGCCATACCTGCTGCCGGAGGCGTACATGGTGGTGGCGCGGGAGGCTATCAAGAAGCGCTACACCTACCTGCCCTTCTGGTACCAGCTGTTCCATGAGTCGGAGACCACTGGCATGCCCGTCATGAGAGCCATCTGGATGGAGTACCCTAAGGAGACCAACGTGTTTGCCATGGACGATGAGTATCTTCTGGGTGAGTGCTTTATTATTGAATACAGGCTTGGCGACTATGCCAGACTTCACAGCACCGTCTTTGAATTTTAAAGTCTTATCACATACACTTGACCCAGAGGTCCACTCTTTCTGTATAAATACAGAAATTGTGATTCACATTAAATTGTTTGGATTTTGCCTGACTTCTTGATACAAAATGTATTTAATATGATCTGTAAATTTTTTGTCCCTGCACATGCATTTCTATAGTGTCTGAACAGTACAGGAACAGGATTAAGAGTCTTTTTAACTGATTTATACTGAAGTGCACCAAATTGAGTCCAGTCCTACTCAATGTAATTTTGTTCGTTGTCAGACAATTTCATATTACAATATTAGATGTCTACTTGGGTTTTGAAAAAGTTAACAAGCTTGTTAATACCTCTCCTTCATTAAATGCATGTCTTATGTGGTCTTCTCTTCTGTTGCATGTGTTGCAGTTGTTGCAAAAATATCAAGATATAGAAATGTTATTTTGTAGAATAGCTATTATGAAAACGATCTGAAAATGGGAACACGAATACCTTTTTTTCATACTTTCAAAACCTCATTAATTCATACACATAGAAAAGGGACTGAAAGCAAAAGAAAAAAAGAACCTTTTGTTGTCCTCTGCATGTTGTAGAAGTGAGTTTATTGTACCTGTAAATATTCCGGCGGTTGATGGGTACAGTAGTATTTTCTATTCCTTGGGACAAATTTGCTGTGTTATCTTTTTAAAAATTCAGTTCATTGTTAAAACATGGCTGTAAATGTGCTTATTTCCTGTGTTCTTTCTCTCACCAATATTTTCAGTTGTCCACTTTATATAGATTACTGTATGATTTTTCATATTTTAAATTCTCTTCTGAGTCAGGTAACTGCCATGTATATCTCAACTTCTCAATGTAGACTTATGTAGACGAGTAGTCTTTTGTTTGTTATGATAAGTTTACAGCACTCACAACTGCATCTGGTCATATGAGCGCGCAGGACACATTAATCATTTTTAGTATGGTCGGAATTAATTTGACCAAAGCTAACTCTTATTGATATTAGGACCACCAAGGGATCTTTAACGTGTACAACTTGCACACGAAGCCTCCATGATTCTTCGTTTATACTTGAGGAGGCAAGGTGTTAGATCTTACCTAAGATCAGGGGTTTGGCTGAAAGACAGCAGTAAGACGGAGCCAAGCAGTCGCAGTAGGAAGGCTGCAGAAGAGTCAGGAGCTCAGAGTAGGGGGGAGGGGGGGAAGAAAGTGGAGACGAAAGCAGATAACAGAAGATGGTTAGAGAGCAGGAAAGGAGGTGAAAGGAGAACATTTCAGAGAAGGAAATTTTCAGTCGCTGTCTGGTTTCGAACTCGGGACCTATTGAATGAGAAGTGAACGCCGCACCTCTAAACCACGAGAACCCCCCTCTCATATTTTTAATTCACCTTTGAGTCAGGGAACTGCCATGTATAGCTTTACTTTAAAAAAATGTAGACTTTTGAGTATGTAGGTGAGTAGTCTTTGCATCATGGAGTAGTTCCTTCGCAAGGGTGATTGGAGGGCACCACTCCTAGGTCCTAGTCCTGCTTCTTTTCTTTTCCTCTGTCTGTCTTACTTTTCCCCAAGTACTAAATGACTGTTATTGTGTCGATCTGCTTGTCTTTACCCCAACAGTTCTTTCGCCATAGTGACTCTTGTTTAGTTGCGTTAAAGGTGTGAGAATGCAAGTGTTAGATTGTTGTTAAGTGGATGGTTGGCGGGTGGTCTGGTGTGGTTTGTTCCTTCTTTCCTATCAAACATCTATCATCCTTATCTCCCCTTCTTCTTTTTTATGTTTGTTACTCTCTTGTAATACCTCTAATCTTCTGGCGCTCTTATGACCTTATGCAATTGCGAGCACCGTAAAATCTCTACTAAAACTAACTAGGTTGTTGTTTGTTCTGTCTCACGCAGGTGATGCCATCCTTGTCAAGCCTGTTGTTGACCAGGGCCAGACGGACATTGCCGTTTACTTCCCAGGAGAAAACACGGTAAGCTTTGTTTTCCTTTGTGCATGTCGGAGTAAATATGTCCCTTTGGAAAACTGTTACCAGAGAAACGGCATTTGTGCTTACTTTGCTGTTAATGGGTGTTCTTCTGAACCAATCATTTTATGTGTCGCAGTTAGACATTAATTGAGTTATAAAAATGCAGTGGTCATAAATTTGATGCAAGCAGTTGGAAAATGCTACCAGTTGCGGCTACTTTTTTTTCCCATTTCTCTTACTAATGTCTGTCTGTCTCTAGCACTGAATGACCTTTTCTTTGCTCTCAAAATACAATTGGATTCTGTCCAGAAAGTGAAGCATGGAGATAAGCATGAATGAAAGCAAGCCATCAGAAGATGGATTTCTGTCTACTAGAAATCAGTGAAGACGAATTTTTTAACTTGCGCATCTATGTTTTAGATGTTAGGCAGTCTCTACTTTGTAAGTTTAAAAAAATAAGATTGACATCATCATCACTTGTAAACCCAGCTTTTCAAACTTAAATCATTCACTTGGAAGCTGTTATTGCCATGTATGAATGATTGGACTGGTTGATTTATAGGGGCCAGTTATGATTACTGTCTGCCATGTGAGCTGGATTTTATTTTGTATGCTTTCCTTGTTCTGGAGTGCGAGTTGTATGAGATAAGATCCCCCTCCCCCCAATATGTTTTGAACTTTGTCTTTGAAAAAAACGGGACCACAGAATTATGTCCGTAGGTATCATTACTGTGCTCTGTTAGTTTATCAGAAACTCAGACTAATTAGACTAATTATGTTTTCAATATATTCAGGTTTGGTATGACATCGACACTTATAAGACGTACCCTGGACGCCAGGAAGCGAATGTGGAAGCTCCACTTTCTAAGGTATGAAGTGTTCATGTCGAGTCAGTTTTATTTTAGTTTTATTTCAATCGATTTCTAAGTGAGGAGAATCTATTTACCCTCAATTTTTAGCATTTTAACTTTTTAATTAGAAATATTGACCAAAATCAGGCCGTGCGGTGAACTATTGAGAATAAAACCAACTTGTTTCGCATGCTCATATGACCTTATGCAGTTGTGAGCGCGGTAAAACCCTTACTAAACTTTAAGTGTGGAGGATTTTTTCAATCGAGTATCTTTCTATTCTGCCGGGATGATGTATCCGTCTCTCAGGCTGGTTTAGCCCAGACAAGCAGGTTCAAAACAATGTGCCCCCTAAATGATGTAAATTATGTTAATAGTGGCCCTTAACATATCCTGTCATGATATTACAGGAGTTAACTTTGAAATTCTACAAGGATAGCCGGTGGTATCATTAGTATCTTTCCCTTCTTCTACGTTCAGTTGTTGAGGTATCTTGAGTGTGTGCCACTTGTGCATGGGACCTCCAAGTTTTCAACTTTTTTCTGTACTTGCCTCTGGAGTAAGCTAGTTGGAAACCTAAAAAGATTCCAAAAGCTCTGTATTGTATATGTTTTTATTGGATAATTGTGGACTTATTATTAACGTATGAATGGACTTATTATTAACATATGAATTTTTTTTCAAGCTCCCTGCCTTCCAGCGAGGAGGATCTATCGTTCCTCGAAAGATGAGAGGCAGGAGGGCAGCGTCCCTGATGTACAACGATCCCTTCACACTCATTGTGTGCCTGGATAAGCAGGTATGTTGACCTGGTTTAGTTCCCTGCAGGCATTTGGGTGGTGCGCTAGTGTGTGCTGCTTCTTTTTTTTAATATATATTTTAAAAAAAATCAAAATCAGTACATGATGAAGTTTTGTTTTCATTTAACTTGCCTTGAACGTGAACTTGGCAACATTGTTTTTCCTCAGTACATGTAAAGTTGCTGTTTTCTCTGTTTGATTTGTTTGTGCATCAAGCTCATTAAAAATATTTGTGGAATTTTTAATTCTTTGAATTGGTCTCAGTTGGCTGCAGATTAGTCCACCCAGGGAGGAAGGGAGGAATTGTGATAATGGACTGTAAACTCATCATGAGGAACTGCAACCTCTCTGATAGAATAACACACGTGAACATCAGTGTTTAGATGTACAAGGAATTGATATGTTTGTGTCCATGACCTTCCTCGTAGTTCAGGCTTTGTGAAAAAAATGAGATTTGCTTTGTTTATGTGTTTTCTTTATATAACAGAGTGAGCAGTTTTTATGGCATTTTTAATATTTGTCATCTACAGGGAAAAGCAGGAGGGCAGCTCTATTTTGACGACTACCACTCCTATGGATACAGAAATGGACAGTATGCCCTTACTGAGCTGTCTTTCCACAACTTCAAACTGGAAAACAGGTAAGATAATGTGTGAAAGACTGCACACTTGTGGAGGGATAGTTGACCGTGTAAGTCTTAAACAAGCATTAGAAACCTGTTATTGTCATTCCAAGAGCGATCAGTCTTGTGAATAAAGAAAAAGAAGATAAATTAGCATTTATGCTGTTACTCTATGGCTTTGTGCTCTTTTTGCGTGTGAGTATTTTCTCCCTTATAACCGTGGTCATTGCTTTATTTTGTGTTGTAAAAGGAGTCTCAGATTTTAACAGTGACAATGTGTACCTTATTGATCTCGCATCAAGAAATTAATCCGCACCACATGAAACTAAAATGGATATTGCTGCCACACACTTTTTTTTCTCCTTTTCCAACCCCACTGACTCATTGTCTAAGAAATTCACCAACACCGCAAGCGATAAGCATTACCTAGATTCTATATGAAAGGTTTTTGAAAACTTAAAAAAAATTTCTTTACATAGTAAATTGTTCATTAAACAGTCTGATCGAGTTAAAACACAAACAAATTTCTGCTTTCATTTGTTCTACTGTTTTGGTAAAAATCAAATCACAAAGATCTTTGAAGAACCCCGTGAAGTTGTTTCCCCACTTTCTGTTAGTCTTTTTAATTTTAATTTTTTGGTTCTCTGTGGAGTGATCTGCTACCTTTGTTTCTTCATAGTACTGTCACTGTTGTCCCAGTCCATCCCTGATGAACTGTCCACTACAACTCATATTATTCACCATCTTAGGTGGGTTGGAGGGCCTTCCTGTTTCCCACCAATTGTGTTATTTTATCGTTTTCCATGCACTAAATGCCAGTTATTGTGTTGATGTGCCTCTCTTTAATCAAACAAGCGATCAAACAAACCATCTACCTCTCAAGAGTTACGATTTTCATCCTTACAAAATCTCAACCTGTTCTGTGTGGGGATGTATGGGTGGGTGTGTATATGTGTGTGCATGCGTGCGTGCATGCTAGTCAAGACGCTCATTGATGATTGATGTACTCTTTAAATGAAAATCTCTGCAGTGTCAAGTTCAAGGGTGAAGGTTTTACCACAAAGGAGTGGTTGGAGCGAGTGGTAGTGGCTGGTGTCAACACCGAGCCCAAAAAGATCCATCTGGTGAAGCCAGGTAGGTTGGCTTTACAACATGACTGGGATTGGGTTCTATAACTTTTTTTTTATGCACAGTTTCAGGGCAAGACCAGACATACCCCAAATGTCAAAGTTGTAACGTTTCAATATTCTTTAAAAAAAAAAAAAAAGTCTCGTCCAATACCAAAATCTCTTCCCTCAAAATGTCATGTAGTCGAAAAAATTGTCGAAGACAGCCACTCATTGTTGAGGACAACGTGGTTGTCTTAGGCAGGCAGACGTGAAGAACAGTTCAGTATAATTTCTTTTTTAAAAATGCAGTCGAGGGGAGGATAAGATGGACAGACAGACTGGGAAGGGGTCATTTGTATTTGTACAGTACAGGTGATTGTCTTGGACAGGTGGCCCTTAGAGCAGGTTCAACTTTATATTATATTTTTATAAACAGAACAGAATAGACAGATCTCAAACAAGGTAGTCTGTGGCTTTAAAATTAGAAAATAACTAAGTACAGTTGAACTTGTCAAAGAAGACCACCCACTGTTGAGGAAAACAGTGGTCCTCTTGGACAGTATTATTACAATGTGGTAAAAAATGCAAAAGGGAAAGTGGGAAGTGGTCGTTTTCACAGGTGATTGTTTTGGACATTTGCTCGTTAGAGCAGGTTTTACTATTTCTCAAAATGTCAATATTGTGATTGTCTCATTATGCTTTAAAATTGTTCATATATTTAGTTGTTTTTTAAAATTGTCTCCACAGTATGGATCTTGGGGTTGTTTTAAATCTCTCTATTTAATAGAATGAAGTGTTCGTATTAATGAAGGCAAAATTTCTAGACTCCAAAAAAACATTTCTTTCAATTGTTTCTTCTTATACTGTATTAAATGTTTATAAAAGCCTTGCGTGATGTTGCTTTAAAAAAATCATTGCCGAGTCGGAGAAAAGCATATTGACACCTTCATGATCATGATATAGTCCAGCAAAAAGGTCAATAATCTCTACAATAGATTGTGTTGAAAAATATATCAATGAAATTTCAATATAAAAATGACTTAATTTTATTACTCGGGAGTGAGCCCTTGTTAGGCTTGACAGTGTTCAGTAATCCATGAAAGTTCAATTAGTGCCTGTGGTAATGTACCAGGTTCAATAATTACGTGATACTGAGTTTGTGACTGATCATTTTTCCACTGGTCTTCATAGTATATTAATGCACTTACTGTGTTGCCTTGCATGAAAGAGTGGCGATGAAATAAACAGGCCCACGATGTTCTTTTGTCTCTTCTGCAGATGGAACGAAGATGGAGCTGGGCCACACATATGATGCTCAGAGCAAAGTGCTCACTATACGAAAACCAGGTGTGAATGTGGCAGAAAAATGGATAATCAATCTGCACTAATGCATGCTGATGTCCATTACTAATTTGATTCTGGAAAATTTACGTTTGGAGAGCTAATTAAATTTCCCTTTTTTTAGTACTTTGAGTGTTCGATTTGTGTGTTGTTAATTTTTGCCCTTTGTGATATGACTTTTTTTTTCATGATGTAATTTGTTGAGTGCAGCATTCCCATAGTTCTAATTAATCCGGAGATGTCAAAAAAGAAATAAAGGATCTTGGTATGCAATGATACTTGTTCCTTTCGATAAAGTGATGGGATAAAATGTTGGTGAGGTGAATTATCTTTGATGTTTATTTTTAATTGTTTAGCACTTTTTGAAAATATCAAAAGCACATAAATTTTTTTTGTGGACAGTTTAAAACCATTGTTATTGCTTGGTATTATTTTTTTTATACCTCATTGATACGTTATGTGTGTTTTGGAGGCTCAGATGTTTTGTATCTCTAGATGTGACCAAATTTTTAGATGAATACTGTTGTGATGTGAATCTGATGATTTTGGGTACGTGAAGTGGGCTGCCGCAGCCACAGCATGAAAGCTAAGGGAGTCGGTCTCTGTCCAGTGCATGCAGAGGTTTTTGTATGATAGAATCCATAAGTGCGAAAAAGATCACAGGAGTTGATTAACAAACCACAAAGGGTAAAATGAGCGATGATGAAAGTGTCATGTAATGATGGGATGTGTTGTTATTTAAAGGGGTGAGGTTAGATGAGTTCTCCACAATGAATAATTTGAAAACTTCTTTTATGGACCAGTGGTAATTCTTTGTCTTTTTATACTTACTCTTTAAAAAATAAAGCTATGCCATTGTACTTATGTTTTTAGAGTAAAACATGTAATAACGTTGAGTTGTAAAATTTTTTATTTTGACTCGAATCACATCTTTCCTGTTCTATTTCCTTCTTTTGACCCTGTCTGATTTGTTCTAAAAAGACATAATAATGTATTCACTGTTTACTTTCTGTTTAACAATGCACGCAAATTTTTCAAATTTCTTTTCGTTTTAACTTCTTGAGCTTTAATGATTGTGTCAGCACAGCGCTACTGTCCTTTGTTTTGTTATGGCCCTCAAAAAATTGTTGTCAGGTTTTGCAAATTTGTTTGGATATTTTGTTTTGTTACCTTGTTTCTCAATTGTTGCTCATGCTTGTGATTAAGACAGTCAATGTAGTAACTGATAATAAACAGCGATCCAAAATCAAATAGTCTTTTATGTATTTTTATTGACTCGTAGACTCTCTCAAAGAGTATTTTTAATTAAATGAATGGGTTTGTGGTGAAAACTTGAATGTGAAAGAAAATGTAATGTTGGCGTTATTTTTTAAAGCTTTTGTTTTGAATAAGAATTTCAAATGTTTGTGCTCTAATAATTATGACTAAATGTCTTTAAAAAATGACTGAATAGGCAGACAGTGAAAACAAATGTGCCTTTTTTACTTGGGAGGAAATGTAGCAGGCTCAAGTTTTATGTGAATTTTGGAACATTTGGATTCCAATAAGATTAGCTCCGTGGATCAAGAGTTCTTGCCTCTGATAGCACATTATTGTGTCTAAAGGGATGTAGAATACTGCTTCTTTCATGTAGCCTAGCAGCTGGTTTGATGGACCTCCAAGGTTGTTTCGAGATCTTACTTCTCAACATAATGATATAAGGTTGTGTATGGCTTCGAAAGCACAAAATCATAAATTATGTCTGGTGTAGGCTCCTTTTCTTATGGTTAATTACTTTTTCGTTTTTTGTTCGTCAATTTTGTTTCTTGGGGTAATTTTATGTTCATTTTTTCTTGGAGAGTAGGTGCTTGGCACTTTGGTGAGCAGCAAGACAGTGCATAAAATATACTGTGTATTGTGAAAACCTTTTATCGGGAACTGACAAAGAAAATTTAAACCACTTGGAAATAATTTGAAAGATCAGACCACATCAACGAGCTCTGCGGCTATCTGGAGCACAATGTGACAAATTATGGGCAATGGAGCTTGGAAAAATCTGTGTGAACATCAGAGATGAAAGTTGGGGAAGAAAGATAAAAATCCTTCCAATGCTACTCAGAAGTTTGGTGTTTCAATAAGTTCTGTGTAATTTCTGTCACTCTTTAACTCTACCAAATTCTACAAAAATGAACACAAAATCAACACAAAAATGATGTTTCTTCTAAACCTTGTCACTGAAGTTGCCAAGTTGTGCTGAAAAGAGGTCTAAAATCTTCGATGCACCAAGGGGTCACTTGTATCTAACTCTTTAATACTTTGCCATCATATTTTGGGGACAATCCAAAGACACTGAGTGGTAAACATCGCCAATCGGTGAGATGAGGTGGCAAAGTGTTAAATTCATACCGGAGAAACTCAGGTTATTCCAACCACCCAAATTGAAAGTCTATAATAAGACAGTTTCTCTGGGAAAAATGTTTTTTTTCTGAATTTCATAGTTGGAGATTCAGTGGCAAAAATGATGTAAGGTTGAAAAAAAAGTTCTAAATGCCTACAAAAATTATCATGTGTATTGAACAAGTTTTCAGTGAGAAAAACCAAGTATATGTCATCAGCAAAAATGAGATGCTCAAGTATAAGTCTCTATTTTACAGTTAACATAATCATGAGGCTGAGGCCAGTCAATGATAGTACATAACAAGATGGGCCACTTCTCTCTTTGAGCCAATTAAAAAAGTGTCCTCAAAATTTAGTGGCGCCCTCTTCACAAAAGCGCACTCTTTGCGAACAGAGTTACCCTACTTGAGTTTTTAAAAAATCAAAGTGAAACTAGCAAGTTTTGGGATAAATTTTGGAAGAACTCTTTTTTTAAATGGTTACGCTGACAAAATACCTCTTCCGATGGAAGGGGTGATGGTTTTCTTCGTTTAATTTGACTTTAGAATGAAAGGCGAGAGGTCATTAATTTAAAAAAAAAACTAAAACTCCGCACTGAACGTACCCGAACTGCTGATGAACAGCAGTCGATCTGCGCACGCAAGGAGGTGCTATTCCTATTCTTCTTCTGGAAAAACGAAAGAGAGCTTCAAAACAGACTGCAGCGCCATCTGAAGCAAAGAGCATACTTCCTGCGGACACTTTTTTGGCTGAGTGGCCCATCTTGTTATTCTTTATCTTTGGGCCAGTGCAGGTTACAAGTAAAAGTAAACCAAAACGGAAGTGGATAATTTGTTCAGTGTTTTATTGCAGGAAGCACAGAGATGAGTTGCTGTATGGCACAGACAGTCAAAGAAAAATGAAAAAACCCCAAAACAGACAGACGGATGGTGAATCGTGGCTCAATAGGAAAGTACCAGTTCATACGGAATACAAATGAGTATGCAGATGGAACACAATGTCCTCAAAAAGGCATGTACCCTAACCTTTGACTGTACTGAACTTCTTGTGAAAGTGTAGATATTTTTTTGAAGCACACTGCCTTCATGATGCAGATGATCTGACGAGTCCGAAGGTCAAATTTTATAGACTGAGCTCAATAAGAAGTGACCTTGAAGAAGATGATGATCATTACAGAAAATGTATGGAAGACTTGAGTAACAAAGACAAAAACATTGTGCAAGGCAGTCATCATAACTTGTACATAGTACACAGTGTAAAATCTGAGGCAAAAAAAATGGGAAGTTTGCAAAAGCTATAAACTGTTCAGAATTCGAAGCACTTCAAAGTACAAAAAAAAAATTAAAAAATATGGTAAATACTTAGGTATTTACTGGCTGACCAATACCCCCAACCCCTTTATGTTATGGAAATGAAGATAAACTCTTAAATGCAATGCAAAAGAGACATGGTGCAGCAGGAGATAATTTGTTGAAAGGTTTAGTGATATTCATTAATTTACTTTGAAAAATTTATCACATAAATTTGTGTTTTCATGAAAACGAACCAGTTATTGATGTAAGCCTCTGACTTATCAAATTTTCAATGGAAAGTAGCTATGACAATGAGACATGCATTACAGTAGCATTTCGTGGATTATAATGTAGCTATTTTTTCTCCTCCCCTGTTGAGATAGGGGTTTGCCTCAGTTCGAAGAAAGTGTTTGGCGTAATTTTAATATCTGATACTCTGTAAATGTAACAGCATTGTGTGCAGTGGGCAAGAAACAGACACTAGCAAGTTGGACAGCTGAAGAACATATGTGCGTCACTGAGGTATAGCTGCCAGTTTGATAAGAACATGTCTGGGTTAACATTATCTTTTTCATCTGTGAATTCACTGGGATGATACATTGATGCAGATAAACAAAATAAACATTATTTTCGTTTTCATGAAGCTCATTTACTTGAAGTGGTTGAAGAATGAAATTGCTCAAAAGCGTCATTTGAAATTGATCCCTCAGTTAGCAACCATTCAGGATGGAGATAAGTTTGTTTTAAAAACATACGAATTTCTAAGAAAACCATCTGACAAAGATCTAGTATTTATGGACACCATGCAGGGAACTGAACTACTGAAATGGTCAGAGAAACAGAAACATATAAGATTGCATACAATGATTTGATTTTATGTACACACATTCTTAGGATGGAAAATATCATATACGTAGGTCTTAAAACAAATCGAACATACACAAAAGGTTTGACGGATGAGTCACAGTCTAGACTACAACTACAAGTTACAGCGTTCAGGCTGCAAAAAATGTATGAGTCAAGCTCTGTCATGCATGATAAAGTAAGATATTGTACATTTAAAGTATGTTCCTTGATGATTTGGGACAGAGCTGAGAGATATATTTCCTTGATGCTTAAAAGTAATGAAAGTAACCTGTGTCTCAAATAACATAAGGACATGTGCACTGAAGCTTTTGAAATATACAAATCTGAGAAAAACAATCTTGCTTTGATGAATAACTATTCATTTTTGGCTCTCCATTCGATTTGGTGAGTGGTGAAATGAAAGGAAAAAAACTGCATTTGCACAACAGGCCTGGCATAAAAAAAGTACTTTTACAATTTCTTTTCTTGTGTAGTTTGGTATCATATTATTATTCACAGTCTATTTGTTACACCGACCAAGAGAAAAGTAAATAATAGACTAGACGTAGAAATAAAAACCTCAGTAGGGCCAATGTTCACTTTTAAAAAGGTACAATTGTGCGACAAGTAACAAAATCATTCTATGCGCCACAGGTTGAGAGCATGCACATATTTCTGAGGTCACAAATATTCCCTCCTCTGTTGTCATGGTTACATGTATTTCACATATAACCTGATTTTCAAAGGACAATAGAGATACAGCAACTGAACCAAGTTTCCTCTTTACATGGGAAGCGTGGTACACAATTGCATTCTGTAATTTGTAATGCACCTGTAGGCTGTAGGTCCTCATATGCTTACATTACAAAGTAAAAGTCAATGCACAATGACCTATGTGGTGGATAAAATGGCTCCAATATTCAGCATTAACTTCATTTGCATACAGAAACAGAAAGCATTTCAACTTTTACCCTTTTAACTTAAGAAAAAAAACTTCCATCATCTTCTCATTTTCTACATCAGCCAAAACGTTCTTCTTTATACATAACCTTAGGTGAAATTGATATCTGTAGCACCAAATTTTGTTTAAAAGAAAAAAACAACAAATCAACCCCTCTGCTGACAAAATTGAACACTTTTTACAACTTGCTTTCTTTCTTTGTAGAGCTGCGCCAGTGAGTAGTTGCCATAAATTAATAACACGCAATCACCAAGTCATTATCATGGTAAGGTATACATTATAAGATTTTGGTATGCAACTTCTTGAGAAAGCTAAATAAGAAACAATACAAATGGAAATGAAACTGCCTGCAGAGTAAACAAGATAATAACATTAAAACACATAGATATCACTAGTCCAAAAAATAATAGTTTGTTCAGAGCAAAAGCTTCATGGTATGTGATTTTTGCTAGGTCATTAGGCATAACCTTAGCTGATCTTGGTCTCCATTACAAAGTGTGTGTAATTTTGTTCAAAGAGTGTCCTCCCTCTATACAGTTTTCACAGGCCCATTCAACCCGCCACAGGTCTTAGTACAGTCCTAGTTCATACCCTCCTACAACTCCACGGGTGATCATCATGACTGTTTTTTTCTGCACACACTAGGCCACTGATTCTTACATACAAAAGACTTGTTCTCCTACCACAGAGAAGTGCTTCTTGTCTTTCACTTTCAAGTGTTAAAAACTACGGTTTTCAAGGTGGAAACCGTGCTGCTTTTAATGACAAGAGTTGCTTCTGTTTGGGTTTAGTCAGTGCAAAAAATGAATAAACCACGTCTGTGGAGCAGGAACAAAGTCTCGGGATGCGATAATCCATGTGAATGAATCAGGTCTCTGTGGAGAAAGCGAGTCTCTATACCTGTTAGTCAATATGACAAAAATAAACCACAGTGTCTTTAGACATGTCACTGGGTTCTCATCACATATGACCTCATGACTCCGAGGGCTCTTGAAATCTCGAAATAAGAGCTCTCACCCAACCCTTCATGATGACCAGATTATCTACTTCACTGCTCAGCTGGTCCAGCTTACACATAGACTTGGATGGCTGCATGCCTCCCTCTGCCCCGGGAGTTGGGGACCGTTCTGTTTCAGACAGAGGCTGGTCCGAGTTGCTCCGCGCTCTGTACCTGAACTGGTTCGCTGTACTTGGTTCTGATGGCCCCGGAGACATGAATAAGAACCGGCTGCTGTCACTTTCGTGACCGTGATTTGTTGAACGAATCCTCAAGGCTGGAGACGATGGTTTTGAATCCGATGATTCAGACCCACCAAAGTTAATTTTCTCTCGTGATTTGGACGTAACAAGGCTTTCCCTTGAGAGATTTGAATTTACACTTTCTCTTGATTTGGAAAGATTTATTCTTTCTCTTGATTTTGACAGACTCTCTTTTGACGAAAAGTGTCTGATACCATTCACACTAATGTCATCGCTACACCGGCAGTCATAACGATCTGCTGAGTTGAGCTTCGTGCGGTACTGTGAGGGAGGCTGGGACTTGGACCGGATGAACTCTCTCTCCTCACTGGCCTGCCGACTAGAACCATGACTGGAGCTGCTTCGCCCATACAGAGCACTCTCTCGCAGCGTCTCCAGTCTCTGTCGAATCATTGTACCTGGTTCTCTCCTTCGAACCTCGAAAACTTTTGGTGACTGTGGCTTTAGCTTTTGTTCAATCAGTTGCACATATTCACGAATTGTATGTTTACGTGGCTGGACTTCAACATGTCCTTGTGGTCTATCCTCATACACAGTCACAATCACAGGCTCTTCATTGAACACTTCAGAATCAAAAGCAACAGACAGCCTCCTCTCATAGAAACTGTCTGTGGAATCTATGGACTCACATGAATCAGTCCTTTTCACTGAACTTTTCGCTGACGGTGAAGACTGCTTACTCTTACTAGATTTGTCCATCTTTGGTTTGGTTTCTGGAGTTACTTCTTTGGAGGAGTCCTCCGACAGTTCCAGCAGGGGCTGGGGGAGGGGTTCGGGGGCAGGAGTTTGGGTCTCACTTAGATTAGAGTCATTACTCTGCAGGGAAAATCCTGAATCAGACTGCTGGATGTCGCAGCTCTTTAGAGCCGGTGGCATGAGAGCCTCGGTAGCCTCTGTGGTGGGAGGTAGAGAAAATCTTGCATGGTCTGGAGCGCTCTCTTTAGCTGGTGAAGCTTGCTCGTCCTGCACTTGCTGACAGGTGTCGACCCTGGACAGTCCACAGGTGCTGTGAGGACGGGCCTCTGATGAGGAACTGACTGTGTCACCATGGTGGTGAAGGGTTGGCGATTCCATACCTTTTGGCAAGGTGTGTGCCATCCGAGAACCAATCACTGATCCTCCCTGGCAATGCTCTCTAAGCACCGACTCCAACTGGCGATCTGCTTGCCACAAGTTCTCTTTATGTAGAGGTGGCTCAAATGTGTTGGCACCTGTGAACATATCTACTTTGTCTTCCTCATCTGAAGTGAGAGTGGAAGTAAGACTGATCTCGCTGTCTTCCCGTTTGCCCATACGCTGAGCCCAAGTGTGGAGCTTAGTCTTGAGAGTCCCGACAAGACCGTCGCTGGAGCTGCTAGCCTGGCTGTCATACGATGAGGTGGAGACAGAGGAAACCACAGACAAACGGTTCAGCTCTTTATCATCTTCCTCTTCCTCCACTGTTATAGTTGGAAGAGTAGTTGGGAATTTGCTTGTCCCTTTCATACTCTCTGAAGAAGAAGTTCTGCTGATGTACTCCTCCATCTCTGCAACCATTCTATCACTTTCATCAGCCAGTTTCTCCATGTCCATAGAGGATGGACGAACCCTGGTGACAGTCTCTGGTCTACTGCAGGTGCTTGCAGGAATGCTATTGCATCGAGTCAGGTTGCTTGCATTTAAAGTGGTGGGACGAGCTATTGTGATTGTCATGGGTGGTACTCCAAAAGCAGACACGCTGGAGACAGGCACAACGTTGATAGTAGATTTGTTCCCATTACTTTGGAAGTTCTGAGGCTTGTCCTTTCCTGAACCAAATTTTTTCATATTTTCTGTCGTCATGTATGAACGTGGAGGTGTGGCGTATGGGACTTGTGCTGAGATTCTTCTTTTGGCATCCAAATTTTCCTTCCTCTGGCATCCCCAATCTAGAGCAGAAGTAGACAGCCTTTGTTTGGAGGCTGAGGCAGCTTCTGAAGGGGACCCGTAAGAATTTCTGTTGAGGTAGACCAACCAGTCCAGATTTTCCTTGTTACCAGAAACTTTCATCATCTCGGACAAGTCTGAGTGACCTCTTGGTCGTGCACCACCATGAGCATGGCTACTGTCATTGATCGAGAGGTCTTGTGCTGTGGAGTTGAGAGACTCGCTAACGCTAGTGCCTGGTGAAGTTGAGTCAGAGTTAATAACCCATGGATCTTCATCCAAATGTGAAATGTCACTGAGTGATCCTTTGGTTAGCTTATCGACACCACTGTTCCAGTCTGTCAATTTTGCTTTAATCCCATTGGGGTGAGGACTAGCTCTGGGCTCTGGTAGAGGCAAGTGTTTGGACGTATTTGGCAGGCGAAGCCCTTTCTTCCTAAGAATAGCTTTGTCTCCAGTTCTCTTGCTGTACGTGTCATGAAAGGCTGTCACTTTTCGTTCACTGTTCTCATCCTTCACTTTATCACAACTGCCAGCAGTACCTTGTCCTTTTCTCTGCCCATATCGACCATTCTGAAGGGAGGCATTTTGCATGTCTCTCCGGCTCATCCTTCCACTTCCCCTGTGGGATGTTATGTTATCTGAGCTGTATGACGACATTTTCTCAGATTTCAGTTGATTTGTTCTACTTCTTTTACTAGAATCGGCTTGAAAGCCAGAGTTTCTTTCACTGTTGTGAAGGGAGGGCAGACTAGCTGATCGAGCTTCTGGGCTCATCATGTCATTGTCTTCAACACCAAGAGCTCCTATTTTTACATCACCAGGTGAATCAAAGGTAGCTGAGGTGTGAATGGGCTTAGTATCATCGACATCTTCATCAGCTATGCTGTCCACACTTATCATGTCTCTGTCAAAACTAGTTTCTTCGGACTTTAGAGCTGATTTGTTATCAATGCTATCTTCCTCCTCATCTCCACCTTCGTCCGATGAATCCTCAGCATCTGATCGACTTCTCAGACTATAACCGCTGAGATCCTGCCTGTCTGGCACATCCTCAGTGAACACATCCTCTTTGACTTTATTTGGTGTCGAAAACTTAATGGAGCCACCACATCTAGCGACCAAATCACTCAGATCTTGCGAGGTCAGAGGTTGTGATCTCATGGCTTTCCGGAAACTTTGCGCTCGTTTCACCTTCTCCAGTTCCTCTTCGTGACCCTCACGACTGTTGTTGTTAGTAACTTTAGACTTGCTCTTGTCTTTCTTTGACACGTCATCACCACCAAGGCCTTTTGTGAAGGAGACGAGGGCAGCGCCCGAGGAGACAATGGCTGAGATGGGGTTCTGACTAGGAGTAACGGGCTGGCTGACAGCCTGGGGTCTGCTGGGGTGGGGCTGGTTGTACATTTCTGGGTAAGATATCTCAGATGTCGGTGTGGTCGGCATGCTGGTACACTGACTTTGGCTTCTTCTCTTGTTTGGAGCAAGCTGTAAAAAAAAGACAAATGCAATATTGTCAGGAAGCTATCCTAAAAAAGATGTTTAGTTTTTATCTCTTTTACAGTTCAAATTAATTTAAAGCATTGTTCATCTCAGTACCATTACATGAGTTTTAATGCATTTTTTTTTTACAGAGAACTGGCATAATAACTGCCATTTTTGTTGTTGGAAATAACTCACAGTAACAATAGTAGAAGATCCAGAAAAAAAAAGACTAGCCCAGATCTGAGTGCCTGCCAGCCACCCATATAAGCTTATTTCTAAACATTTCACTTTTCATTACCGATAAATTTAAAGAACAAATCAAATTTTTTTCTACTTCAGAAACTGAAATATATTTAAAAACAAAAAACATTTTTGCAAAGTAACATTAAAGTCAAAATTAGATTACTTTTTCACTTTTGGTTTCCCAAATTGTTGTTTGCAAACTCAATGAAACCCAACCTTTTTTTCAAATATATACAGAGAAACAAATCACTAGACGAAATAAATCATAATTCAGGATTACCTGTTTGGGGAAGATACGTCGATGAGAATCTGGTGACTTGCTCTCTGCTCTGCGACCCATTTCAGGGGAAACCTTCGATTTGTCAGCCTGTAAGGAACAAAAGCAATTCTGTTAAATTTGTACCTTAAGAGAAACAGAAAGTGATGGGGGTGACTTTTGGAAAAGTAAAGAGTTGTACATTGGTACTCCCCACACTATTGTTGGAAAATAAATTTTTATCTTTATAGAAAGGTTTAATTAAAGAAAGCAGCACTAGGGAGAGACAATGAATACAAATGCCAATATTGAAGACAATTGGTCACTTGTAAGGACAATGCGGGATAACCCAGATTTCGGGGGTTTCCAGAAATCTTGACCTACACCCAAAGGGGACATTGCCCTACCTATAGGAAAAGTTTGGGTTCATTGGTGCGTATATTTGTTTATTTATAGAGAGAACTCTCCTTGTCTTTTAAAGAAACTGAATCAGGGGCAAAAACTTTACCTTCGGTTTTCTCAAAACAGCATTTTTCGGGATAGCCCCCTTGTGCTTAAAAGCGACCAATTATTATAATATGCAAGAAGGACAATATACATTTTTCTGTCAGCCCTTCTTGAATTAAAGCAGCTGAGCATTCAAAACTCAAAGTACTGATCAGTTGTTTATTTATCACTTTCCATGGCTCATTATGATTTATTTGTCATGAAACTTTCATATGACTCTACGACATATCAGATATCACAGGAAACATTCTTGTTACAATTACACGCACAGTCAATTTACATTGCTTGAGTTTTTAAAATGCTTCAACATCTTTTTTGCATTCCAGTACATATTTATTAAATAAAAACAATCCATGATGTTCATCTGAAGGTTTACTGTATGATCAGGATGGATTTCTTACTTAAGTTCCCATAATCAACAGAAGAGGGGTGAAATATAATCAAAGTTATCCACCAAAGATACCTATTCCTCTATAAATACTTTTTTTTGTTGTTGAAAGAAAGGTTATAAAAAAAAAAGAGCAAAAACAGGATAAAGCAATAAAAGTACTTACTTTTTTGTTCCAATCTGAAATAATAAAATAAAAGAAATAAAGTGAGTATTCTGTAGGGTAGAAACATCTATAAGATAAATAACAATGTTTTATATACTTAATATTTATGAGTCTTATTATGGAACAGCGTAACCTCAGTGAAAAAAAATTCTCAAGGCCGCATAATCAATATTATGAATTATTTGTTGTGAATCAATATCTCTAGAGTAATTTTACATTCTCCACACAAAGACATTTACTTTGTTCCTCATCATAGCTTTATTCTTGGTTTTCTTTATTTTTGCCCAGTATCTGCTTATAATCTGAACTCAGGGACTACTATACTATAGTAGTCTTTGTCTGTATATTAAATCAAAGACAAGAAATATAATATCTTAGTGTGACTTTTCATTCCGTGAAATATTAATCTGAGATGAAACTGTAAAACACTTACCTTTTCTGGCTCGTTGAGGTTTCAAAAGAATGAAATCTGTGAAAGAAGCACAATGATGTTGGGTATTATTATCTTTGACATTCACTTTAAAAAAAAGTTAAAACTTTTGTTTGCATATTATTATATACAGTAAAATTTCAGTAAAATTAGAAATAAAAGTAAATGAACAAAAATTCACTTCTGCTGATCTCTGTTGCCATTAATATTTTAGCAGTCACATTGATACCACATAACATCAGCCACACTCGCCACTGCTGATCATCATAGTGCAGTATTCTGTTTTTGAAGTGGGGCTTGCGTCTTGCTCAAGGACACCTCTCAGTGGTCTCCATCCAATCGCAGTGTCACCGACATAACTTGATATTATTTGTGAGACAGTTTCACTTAGGGCTTACCATAATATGGCCACAGGTGCAGTTAGTTTTCGGTAAAGTAAGAAAAAAGGTTCTGGAATTAGGTCATGCATGAGACAAAGGTGATGTGTGGATGAAATAGTCAAAGTATAGGAGAATTAAACATGAGAAAAAAGAAAAGGCATTTGCTGTCAAAATGACAAAAGAAACAGGTTTTTTTAACAATTATTATTTTGGCATAATTTCTTTTCTGTAACTTTTGAAACTGATTGATAATAAATGGCTTACTTAAAAATAAAGCTGTAGGAAAAAATGAAATACAAGGAGGATTCTCATCCTCCAGAGATGGAGTGGCTTATCCTACCTGGTATCCGAGAACCAGATTTCTTTCTAACCCTTCTCTTCTCAAGATATTCAGGGGCTGTGTGTTGGTTTTTCCTGACTGCTTCAAGAGCTTCCTTGGTTACATAATCTGCAAGGAAGTCAAAGGAGATTAAAAGAATTTTTTAAAAAGGAATAAACAAAAAACATTAGTCAATAAAAAAACCCAAACTATATATCTGTAATCGACGTAGAAAAGAAGCGGCATTTGATGCAACCTGTGACAGAAGAAAGACAATAAATCCAGGACAAGGAAAATGTGTAAAACACACACTGGGTTACTCAAAAGCTTTTGGTAATTTTGGAAATTTCTACACATACAAGTTATGAGTCTTTGTAAAGATAAGGACATAGATACCCTCATGGTCAATTCCTGCAGGGAGAAAAGTAAAACAGACAGGTAGAAAAAATAGACAGAAAGAAAAGAAGTAAGAACTACCGATAGAACTCTCCCTCCAACAACCTGCATACATACACAAAAATCCTTATGTTTATAATAACTTTCTCTCACCATCATCGTGTTCACGGCCCAGCTGCATGACCAGGTTCTTCACATTGTCTGGGATACGACCTTTGAAGCTCTCAAGGATGAGTCGTTTTACTTCCTGGCACCAGCGACGCTTCTGCTCCATGTTACGAGCCTGAAACAAAATGGAGTAAACTTTTTTAAAATATGACTATACTGTCAGTT